ACGGGAATCCGAATTTGAAATACTATCCTCCAAACTAATAGCAAAAGAAAACCAATGGTGGACTGACCCCAAAGCTCACTGCTTTTCTCTTGTGCCAGTTCACAGCAGCTATGTAATGGCTCCTTCTCTAAGGAAGCTGCCGTGAGTCTCTATGAATGTGCTGAACCTGATGTCAAGGAAGTGACACACGTATAAAATTAATTGCCTGTTTTCCAGACTGCAGCTGTAATGAGGCAGACCCAGGAGCCTGCTTGGAAAGAGGGATCCTCGGAGCAGCCTGTGTGTTGGGAAATGTGTTTAGAACAATAGCTGCTCTATTCTTTAATGCTGGGCTTGGTCTTGCTCCCACTGAAAACTGCAAGAATGGGACTCAATCTTTTCAGCTTGTCTGTGGCATAGACATACCAGCTTAGTCTATTTATATCCCTGAACTATTTAATTTCTTTTGCCTCTATTATCCATTTATCAGCCTTCAGATAGGATGCTGTGTAGTTGCTAACAAATGCTGTCTCTATCCTGGCCATCAGAGAGTCTTCTCAGAGAGGGGCAGCCCATATCCCCCTGGGAAATGGTAATCTCTAGGTCAGAGATGAGGAATCCAGACTGTAGCTGCAACACTAAAATGTCTTGCAATTAGTGCTAGTCAGATGCATCACAGATGTCTTTCTTTTATTATTAAATGTTATTTCTCTTATTAGTTTAGGGTTTTCAAATTTTCTCTCCAGCTGATTAAATATTAAGGCTGGAGCACCAAAAAGGCCAGTCTGTACTCCTCACAACCTTGAAAATGAAAATATTTATTGTCAAGGTTTGGAACTTGAGTCTGTTCTAAAACAAAACAAATGAAATTTGCTACTAAATAAATTTAATATCAAATTGGTGTGCACAAGTCACTTGAAACTCATTAGATAGAAGAAGACTATCGAAATGTCAGCTATGTTTTCTTTCTAAAGGCCAGAGATTTCTTTTGCGTTCAGTAAGTCAGAAGCATGTTTCAGGAGAGTGCCAAATACTCCCAGGAGCATTGACTACAGGCACTGATTATTAGCTTTCACATTTATTTTCATTCTTGCAAGTCATAGTGGGTTAATAATGGAATTCTAATAAAGTTCCACATGAAAACAAGCTATAAATGCATTGCTGGCATACAAGGACATGAACTTTCTCACGTAGAACATGATTCATTCAGATATTTTACATAATTATTTTGAAACCTAAACAATAAATAATGCACTTGAGGAAGAGAACATCTGACACTTTCCTTTGCAAAGAAAACCTCACAAATACCATTTTAATACTGACCAGAGGTCTCTCAGAGTAAAAGGTCTTGCCTCTAATATAGTGTGGGTAAAGACGACTTTTGCTATACAAAACTTGAGCCACCACATAAAGCTCTGGACTAAGGATGCTGTGTGCCTGTTTGCAACCTGGCTATCTCAGCAGGTCAAGTGCACCCTGAAGCTGGGGACAGGTCACCCCAAGCACTGGGCAGCAGGGCCCAGATACACTTGTTGTTTCCTTCACTGTTGTGCTGCTGGCAGAAGCCTTTTCTGTGGGGTAACAGTAGGATGGTGTGCAGGGCTGGAATTTTAGATGTTGCTGCTTTTAAGTGTAAAAATCACTCACAGATTGATAGTTTAAAAATAAAAATTAATTTCTGACCCTAGTTATAGGTGGAAGGAAGAGAAGAAAGTTAAAATCCCAGTGACCACATGCTTCCTGAGTGTGAGACAGCCTCAAAGCTTGCTCACATTTTTGTATCATCAAAATCACAAACTGCACATCACAAATGTCCCAACTTTTCATTGGCCATATTGTTTGTTCTTTGCACTAATGCCAAACAATATCTGTTCCAGATGAGAAGTCCAGAAATAATGAAAAACAAACTGGTTTTGTTTTTGTAAGAACAAAAAAAATAATGCAAGGAGCTCTGATCAAACTCTGAATCTGTGCACTCAATTCAATAGTCAGCTCAATATTTAGAGTATGGTTACATGTTAAAATGAGGATATCTATTTTCCTCCACCTTCTTTTTTCTTTTCCCCTCTCCTTTGCTCTCCTCTGGCTCTTGGGGAGCTGATTCAAGTTACTAAGCCAGTAGAAATCTCATCCAGAAAAAAAAAAAAAGAAGAGGTTTCCGCTGGGTTACTGAGCTAAAATAGGCCCACCATATGGTCAGCTGGAAGGAGGGGGTGGGATTGCATGGCCAGGAGCAGCAGTGGCCGCAGGAGGAAAGGAAGAAGGATCGGCAGAAAACCTTAGTCTCACTGTCAGGTTAATGTTCTTCAGATTTATGTTTCAGCTCAGGGTGAGGCACAGACCAGAACCGATGGGGGCCAGGGTGGCACGTCACCGGTGGTAGGGAGGGAGAGTCAGGACGTGGCAACTGGTAATTAGTTTGGCCCAAGCTGTTTTGGAAATCCAGATTTAGCTTCTTGATGGTGCCCAGAAAGCTCTTCTCACCAGAGGGCACAGGCTCTGGCTGCAGAGGGACTAGAGAGCCAGGTGACAGAATCCACGTTGCCCTGGCTGCAAAACAAACAGCAGCAAATATCTGGCATACTGAACAAAGGGGCAGTGGTTTGAAAATTAATAGTCACTTAACAAAAAGACATTGAATAAATATTCTCAAAGGTTTGCGATGTATATGGATTTCATATTTCTATAAATCATGCAGCTTTCTCTTTTGTTGGTAAACTGGACTTCCCAAACTGGTAAATTGGGCAGTGATGTTGCTAAACCATAAAAGACAAAGACTTTCAAGTGTGGCTGTTTAAAGGCAGGGATTAAAGGCCACACTTAAGTGCCTAAATGGGTGTGTAGTTTTCAGAAGTGCTCAGCACCACCACTTATCATCGATGGAAGCTGCTATGAGTCTTGAGCCTCTGAAAATAGGGCACTGGGTAGTAGGACATAGGACTTCAAATACCGTTTTTAAGCCCTTGGTCTAGATATTCAGCTCACTATCTGACTGAATGGGAAAGCTTAGAAAGCAGGATAAATGCCATTAGCATGTAATGAAAGAAGAGATGTATTTATTTTTTTAAATGATAAATCCAAAATATTTAATTAAATAATTAAAAAAGATATTTAAGGAACAAGCAGAACCATTCCAGTGTTAAGTTCACCAGTCTGTTGACCTCCTCAAGCATTCAAAGCTGAATTGCCTTAAGAAATGTGGTGATGGGACAGCATCAGAGGAAGCCATAATTTCTATTCCTTGGGAATAGGATGTCAGCCTGAAATTATCTGTACTGCTTAGGACTAAGAAATATTTCATTTTTCCACTATATAACTCTTCAGAAAACAGCATATTCTGGAGACAAATACAGACAAGTGTTACAGTAATGTTTTATATTTGCCATTCACTGCTTTTCCCAGTGCTGTTCTCAGCTAGCAGGCTTGAGAAGTGGGGTGATACACAAGGCAATCTCCAGATGGGGAAACCTGTTCTTAAGACAAAATCTCTTCTTCCCCGAAGAGGACCTTAAGTTGGGATAAAAACTGTTAGTGCCATTTCTTTCTGAAGGAGCCAGTTCTCTATCTCTCTTTGGAACATCAGTTAAGATCTGCTTTGGTAACAGAGTCCTGTCTGACACAATTTCAGTGTCATGTACCTCGTCACATAAAGAGGCCTTTGTAAATAACACTTCACACAAGGTTGACCCAGCCAAGATTGCCACATGTTTGACTGTAAAAAAACATATGGTAGAGATAAGTCTTTTTCAAGGAGATAAGAATGGAGGGGAAAATTGAATCATCTTTGAGTTTACATACATACATTTTACACAGGTAAAGCTTTGGTGAGCTGACGTTATTCATTATACATACAGAAAGACATGGACCTGCTGGAGCGAGTCCAGAGGAGGCCACAAAGATGAGCATAGGGCTGGAGCACCTCTCCTGTGAAAACAGGCTGAGAAAGTTGGGGTTGTTCAGCCTGGAGAAGGCTCCAGGGAGATCTTACAGCAGACTTCCAGTACCTAAAGGGGCTGACGAGAGCTGGAGAGGGGCTTTTCACAAGGTTGTGTAGTGATAGAACAAGGAGGAATGGCTTTAAACAGAAAAAAGGTAGGTTTAGATTAGATGTTAGAAAGAAATTCTTAACTGTGAGGGTTGTGAGACACTGAAAGAGGTTGCACAGAGAAGCTGTGGATGCTTCATCCCTGGACGTGTTCAAGGTCAGGCTGGATGGGGTTTTGAGCAACCTGATCTAGTGGAAGGTGTCCCTTCCCATGGCAGAGGGGCTGGACTTAGATGGCATTCAAGGTCCCTTCCAACACGAATAATTCTCTGATTCTAAGATTGTATGATATGATTGGAAAGAAGTCAATTCATTGCTATCTCTGGAGAGAAGAACCTGGGACGGGATGTAGATGGGTAAACCTAAGACCTGGCTTTCTTTATTTGTGGAGTCATTTATTGACTGTTTAAGAAATACAGGGTATAAAAAAAAATTTTAAAGATATTCAGTCATATCCTCTGAAGAGGTGGAAATTAGACTGAGTGTCACAGTCCTGGGTGTATAACTTCTGAACTGAGAGATCCCCTTACAGAACCCAGAGAGCTAGATCCCCATGAAGGCAATCAGCAGGGCCTCCAGAGTTGTTCAGCAGAGCAACGGTGCCTGCTTTACCATGAATTAGATAGCCCTTGAAACTCCACGGATCTTATTGACTAGATCACTATAAACTAGAATAGGATCTTGAACACCTAGATTTTATGTAGGCACCTCCAAGAAGAGATTAAAATTTAGGTGTGTTAGTGTGCAAGCTGAAAGCCACTCTAGCTGTTGATGCTACAATATACTTCAGTGACATCTCTGTTTTTCTCTACTCTGCTTTACCAGGGCAATTTACTGCAAAACAAACCTAGGAAGGAGCATGTAGCTGATGGTGAGAGCCAAAAATAAAAGCAGGACATTGAAGGTCGGGATCCACCATTTTGTTCTGAGGTCTCTGTTCTCACTAAAGGTGGTAGTAGGCAGATAAAATTATTACCTGCAGAAATTTCCATCTGTTTCTGGCAGGGTCAGAGAAGCCATGGGATTCTTCAGGAGATCTGTCACAGTGTTATCCTTCGGTGTTACGTAAAAGAAAGGGATTCCAGTGCTGTTATTGATGGGACCATCGCTGAGAAGTAAACAGTTCCCATAGGGCATACCTTGGATCTGCAAAATCCAAATAAGCAACTGGTTATATCTTTGCACACAGAGGGTTTACAATGTGGGGCATTCCCTCAAGGGCTCTAGCAGAAAGGACAGCCAGCCCCATTGCTCCCACTCTCAGTTGTCATGAGACAGCACTTCTAAATTAATCTATCTCCTCTAAATTAGTTCTATCATGCTTTTATGAAAACGGATCTCTCCTCTATTTTTTCTTTCCAGCCCTGTCCATGGCACTATAGAGTACATTTTCTCTTCCACGACCTTAAAGGCACTACCAAATTAAAAATGTTTAAGTGCATTAAAAGCAATGCCATCAGTATCAAGAAATGTTTACTTTAAACCAGCGCTGATACCTTTCCTCAAACCCAAAGGAATACAGAGCCTAATTTAGCCTTGATTCAGCCTGCTTTTTACACTAATTTTGCCTGCCCTTTTGGCTTTGACTTGCAATGTCATTGCATCGGTTTGCCAAGACAGAGAAAAAAGCATTTTAGCGAGAATTGTTTGAAGACAAACTGGACATCAGCTCAACTTCCTAGGTAGGAACATCAGGTCTGGAGGGGTCTCAGCCACCAAGCCAGCCAGAGTAAAACCTCCTCCCATGGCAGAGGAGGGACGCCAAAGAGCCAAGTTTTCAAAACGTTTTCTCCCATACACTGACCTGTGTATACACAAAGGATATAACACATACAAAAATGTCCTTGCCCAGTAGTGACACCCATTAATATTCTCCATAATAATTTATATTCCTACTTTGCTTTTCATGCCATTATAAATAGCAGGGACAGATACTTAATGAGCTACTGGGGGTTTTTCATGTTTTCAGATCCTTCTTTCCTCATGGTCTATTAGACATTAAATAGTAAAATTATCAGTCAATATATTAATTCAATGTAAGTGGTAAATCTTTTCCAGCAAAATCAAATTAAATATTAATAGTTAATAAGAAAACCCTGGATAATGTTGTTACCTGGGTTGCATGCTTTCTGATTTTGAATGTTTATATGCCTTTAAAATTTTAATGCTTATAGTGCTTATAAGTGGTATTTGTTGGTATTCCTTAGAAGTAATACTTTAATGATGCTACATAACTTACAAGCTAAAGATACTTGTTTATTATTAAGAGTTATAATGAAAAAAAAAATAGCTGTCAGTAACATTGCAGGACATGTTCCCATTGCTTAAAATGCTCAGTCTGTCATGCAAGGTTAATGTTACACTGGATTCTCAAAAAGAATTGTGATCACAGGCAGCATAGCTTAGCATTCACAGCAGCAATCACCACCCCATGAATTCCAAATTTTATTATGAATCACATTTTTCTATATTACTTCTGTGTTCTAACTAGAGGCAGCTAACTGCAGACTACATTATGTCTGTAATTCCACTGAGGGTTTCTGGCAGGAGCATAAACCAGAAGAGTTAAGATCATACTATTTGATAGGATTTCCAACAAGCTGATGTAGAATTACAGGTCTCTTGTGACCATGTATAGATTTGTTTAATGGTATCTTTTTTCAACTTGTTACTTTGTATTTCAGAATAACATAAACTGCCACTAACTCTGCCAAGCTTTCTGAAGATTTATGTGCTTCTAATTTTGTCTATTTTTTAAATTGTAAATTAATTAATCTGTGAATACTTTCAACAGAAAGTTATGGATGTCTTTTTTTTTTTTTTAATTTCTTTCCCCCCCCCCCCTTTTATCTGAGTTGTATTGGATGCTGTGTCTGTCTCATCCAAACCTTTCACTTTAAAAAGGGAAATATTTTAAAGCTGGAAAAAATAATGACCCCGACTCTCTGGTGCAGCCCAGCTATTTTGTTTAATGCTCCTGACAGGGAAATCGTCCTTCAAGCTTGACGGGCGGACAGATTTTGTGGTAGCCCAGCGGGGTCTCCTCCTCCTTTTCCTCCTCCTCCTGAAACAGGCCCTCTCCAAACCCAACGTTGCAGCTCTGCTTTCTAGCCTAGAGATTTTGGGTTTTTGGTGCCCCTCTGGTGCGATTTTTAGCGTGCCTCCTCCCTCGCCGTGCTCCAAGCACGATTTCTCTTCCAGAAAGAGTTTCCGCTGTCACCTCCGCGACGCGGGCGCTGCCGGCGGCGGGACGGCGCGGCCGCGGGGGCTGGCGCTCGTCCGGCAGGAACCGCGTGGCGTGGGCACCGTGGGCACCGTACCTTTCCTCGGGCGGCCCGCGTCGCCACGAAGCCCCAGGTGTTGTGGCGGGCGAGGAAGCGGGCGGTCCCGGCGCGTCCCGGCGCCCCGCCGCCCTCCCGCCGGTAGGAGAACATCCTGGAGGGGGCGGCCCCCGGCCCCGGGCGCCGCGCCGCCGGCCCGGAGCCCAGCGCCGCATCCTCCCGGTACGCTGAGGCCGGGTAGCTCTGCTTCCAGAGGCCGCCCGCCTCCTCCAGCAGCGCGGGCAGCGCTTCCTCGGTGGAGGAGCTGTGCAGCTCGTCCGCCGCCGCCCCCGCCTCGGGCAGCGGCCACGACACCGAGCTGACCACCACGTACCCCCCCGCGCCGCCCCACAGCAGCGCCGGCAGCAGCCACCACGGCCACCACGGCCACCGCCGCCCCGCCGACATCTTCTGCGGCAGCTCCGGCCGCGCCGCTCCCGCCGCGCCCTCCTGCGGCCGACGCCTGCCCCGCACCGCCCCCTCCCCGGTGCCGAATGTTCGCAGCAGCCCCCGGTCGATCGGGCGGCAGGTCGCGCCTCGGCGGCCTGCCCCCGCCCCAGCCCCGTACGGTGCGGGAGCCGCTGCCCGCACCTGCCCGGGACGCCCGTGGGACACCCGCCTGCGGCGTGTGGGGGCCCCTCGGGGGGCTCCGTGCTGGGTTACCTGTCGTTTGTGGGGCGCCTGTGACACTTGGAGCCCCTGGGTCAGGTGCGCAGCCCAGTAGGTATCTCACGAAAATAAGTTCTCTACATGCACCACAAACCTCGGATGGACAGGTGGAGCTGTCCAGGCAGAGGCAGTGCGACCTCTCCGTTTATTAGAAAAGAGAGAATCCACGAGGCAGCGTGTTCATATGAATATTCCCGTTGCAGGGAAAGCTTCATTTGGGGTTAAGTAACAGCAAGACCCCAAGTCCGAGATGTCAGGCAGCACTAGTTTGGTGTTTGCAGGATGTGTATTGATACATAAGTACATGGAGTTGCTATTAAATGATATGTTTCCCAGGTGAGGTTTTAATTAGGCAAAGATTCGGATGTATATTTGTGTTTATATTAGCGGCCCGATTTAGTAAAGGCACTTTTTCATCCAGCTCCTTTTCTATTCTTGGCAGTAGACCCCTTCAATATGACAATGCAAACTTGTAATTCTTTGAAACGTATGCTTGTAAACTTTCGTTGTGTTCGTGCAAATTACCTAAGGAGCACAGGTTCAATAGGAGACAGGGAGCAATGAATCTCACAGGAGCCTTTGCCTGTCTGAAGGTTCTCAGGTACATCTCACAGATCTTACCTTTCCATAGCTGCGAAGAACATATTGCAATGTCAGTCTATTCACACAACTTCTGCTTAATTGTACCACAAGAACATGTTGTATATCTAATCTAGAATCTAAACTCTTATAAATATAAATTGACTGGAAAATATTGAGTATTTTTAGCTTATATTTTTCCTAGACCCCCTATTCTGTTTTTTTATCTTCACCATAAAAACCTGAAGGATAGTGGAAATGGGTACAACAGGTCTTAAAGCCCAAATGAATTTTTCTGACTGTGAAGATACTTCCTGAGTATGTAATTTTGGCACCAAACTCTTAATCTTATCTGCAGAATACACTATTTCCTTTCCCTTTAGCACATGGGCCTGTCTGCATCTGCTGTAATACCACACTTTTGAATATTGATTCCCACTTCATTGCTTGAGCTGAGACAGAGGGATAGAGATGCAAGTAGAAAATAAATGTAGATTTACAAACCCAAAATAAGTGAAAGCTTCCTAAGCTCCTGACAAGTGCTTTTCTCTGATTCAGGATATGTCCTTTCTCAAAATAATGAAGCGGTTGTCGCTTCTTGAAATAGCAACCAGGCCCAGACAACTCACTGCAGGCATGCTCTTAAAAAATATTTAACCCTCCCATTTCCCTGGTGTTTCAGGGAATTTCCTCACATAATCTGATGCATGCAAGATACAAATTTCATAGTCATATTTACTATTTCATACAAATTTATGCCAGGGTTTCTCTTTATAAACTTCTTTACTTGTACTTTGCTTACAGAACAAGTCCAAACAAACTAGTTTCTAACATAAACAAGTCAATAACATTATATACAACTTATTTCGGTTGACATAATTATATGTGAGATATTGATTCCTGTATCCTGCAGAAATGGGAAACAAAGCAGGAATTTCTAAAGACATGAGTGCTAAGTTCTATATGCAATAAATATAAATTTTAAATTATGCACGGTAGACACAAAAAAGCATTGACGCAGAGCACAGAGTCATTAATTGCTTCTGTCTTCAACACAGATGACCAAGGGGGTCTCAGTGCCCTGAGCTGGAGGACCACGACTGAGAGAATGATGAACTCCCAGTCAACCCTGAAACTGTACAGGATCTGCTGCTCCAGCTGAATCCCTACAAATCTGATGGGATTCCCCCAAGAATCCTCAAAGAGCTGGTTGATGTCATCACAAAACCTCTCTTGATGATTTTTGAGCAGTCTTGAGAATATAGAGAGGTCCCAGCCGACTGGAAGCTGGTGGACATTGTCCTGATTTTCAAGACGGGCAAGAAGGAGGACCTGGAAACGACAAGCCTGTCAGTCTCACTTCAACGCCTGGTAAAATTACGGAGAAAATTATTCTATGAAGTATTTAAAAACATCTGAAAGACAACACTGTCATTGTTGACAGCCAGCACAGCTTTATGAGAGGAAAGTCCTGCTTATCAAACCTGATTTCCTTCTATGAGAAGGTAACCCACCTAGCTGATCAAGGGAAGCCAGTTGATGTAACTTTTTTTGCATTTCAGAAAAGCTTTCAATATTGTCTCTCACAGTATCCTTCTGAACAAACTGTCCAGCGTACAGCTGGATGAACACATAATGCCATGGATAAGCAATTGGCTAAGGAGTTGAGCACGGAGGGTAATAGTGAATGGGGTGACATCAGACTGGTGATCTGTCACTAGTGGGGTTACAAAGGACTCCATCTTAGGCCCTGTGCTCTTCAACGTCTTCAGAAATGACTTGGATGCAGGACTGGTAGGGATACTAAGCAAGTTTGCAGATGACACAAAACTCAGAGGAGCTGTTGGCTCCCTCTCTGCAGGGAGGCCCAACTAATTAGAGGACTGGGCAATCACCAACCATATGAAGTTCAACAAGGGGAAGTGTTGGATTCTGCACCTGGGATGGGGCAACCCCGGATGTACAGACAGACTGAGGAATGAGATGCTGGAAAGCAGTGCTGCGGAAAGGGAGCTGGGGGTGATGGTTGATGGCAAGCTGGATATGAGTCAGCAGTGCCCTGGCAGCCAGGAGGGCCAACCGTGTCCGGAGGGGCATCAGGCAAAGCATCGCCAGCCAGTCGAGGAGGTGATTGTCCTGCTCTGCTCCATGCTGGTGCCGCCTCACCTTGAATATTGTGGCAGTTTTGGGCATCATGATATAAGAAAGATATTAAGCTATTAGAGAGTGTCCAAAGGAGGGCAACGAAGGTGGTGAAGGGCCTTGAGGGGAAGCCGTATGAGGAACAGCTGAGGCCACTTGGGCTGTTCACACTGGAGAAGAGGAAACTGAGGGGAGACCTCTTTGCAGTTACAACTTCCTTGTGAGGGGAAGATGAGGGGCAGGCACTGATCTCTTCTCTGTGGTGACCAGTGACAGAATCCGAGGGAATGGCTTGAAGTTGTGTCAGGGGAGGTTTAGGTTGGATATTAGAAATAGGTTCTTCACCCAGAGGGTGGTCGGGCACTGGAACAGGCTCCCCAGGGAAGTGGTCACAGCACCAAGGCTGACAGAGTTCAAGAAGCATTTGGACAATGCTCTCAGGCACATGGTGTGACTCTTGGTGATGATCCTGTGCAGGGCCAGGAGATGGACTTGATGATCCTTGTGGATCCCTTCCAACTTGGTATATTCTGTGATTCTATGATCTATGCTGTAGCTTCCAGATAAATTTACCACAGTTACCTCAGGTAGGTCTTCAGCTTTACTGACAACAGAAAAATACAGGAAATACATAAAAGCAAGCCACAAATAGTTCACCTTTTTTTTCTGAAGATTTATTCAAATAATACAAATCACATAACAACTTAAAATAACTGCATTCCTAGCCCAGTTTTGCGTTTAGTATTTCCAGGGAAAAAAAAAAATCTTAAATTTAAGAGAATGAAAACAATATGCCTTAAAGTTGTATCAAAAAGTAAGAATGGTGGAGCATAAAGAATTTTCAAGTTTGGATGGTTTTCTCTGAAGATTTGCTGTTCATTGGAGGCAAAGAAGTGTCTGTCCATCTTTTTGAGTAAGAAGTGTTTCCCTTCCAACTTGAAGATCCAATTTAATACACATTATAATAAATCTCTCTTCCAAAATTACTTGGATGCGCTAAAAATTAGAAAAGAAACATGGAAATGTTTTGGCAATAGGAACTGTAAATCGTAAGTTTCTCCCTTCATCAAATAAAAAACAACTTCTCTATTCTTTCCAGTTTAACCCAAGGGATTTTATAGATGCCAAGCCTTATTTTACATCAATAAATCCAACAAGAGAAGGCGCACATTGGGGTTCCTCATAGGTAGGCAAAGGTCTGACAGGAGGCCACATTCACTTCTAATATGTCATTCACACTTTGCTTTTCTGCTATGAGCCCTTCTATTCACTTTCAAAACAAATAGTTTCAGCCTGTCTCTGTCCTGACAGGACCTGCTTTTTCATGCTGAAATTCTGGCTTTCTTAAAATCTGCGGAAGTTTTGACACTGAATTCAATTAGGGTCATGTTTTTGCCCTAGTTTTTTGATCATTTTAGTTAATGATTTCGCTTGATCTCTGTATCCTGGCTTATACAGACCACTCAGATGAACACTTACCGTTCCTATATGTCAAATAGTTAACTATGTCCTATTTTTTCTCCCTTTTTAACAAATCAAAGTGTTTGATTTGCTCTCTGCTAACAGAGCTAGGAATAGCATACCCTCGGTCTCCTCGTGCCCTGATTTGCAGTATATTGTATGTTACGAAGGTGTGGAATTGGATTAAAAGCTACAGCACAGTGCTCTGCAGATAAACCCGCTGCAGGTGTGAAGTTTAATAGGATTTTAATTTGGTAACAAGTGAACAAAGTGCAGAAACCTAGAATGGGATTTTCTAGATGAAAAAATGTTATTCGTGCTGAAAGAAAGCAACTGCAAGCTCTGTGATAAGGAATAAAGATCAGGCCAATGCTCTCTGAGCTGCAGTTTTATAGATTATGGCTCGCTCAAAACATCTTCGTTACTGCCACTGGTTTCATCAATTCTTAGTTCATACTATGTGTGTTTGGCTATATAGCATTTCATCTGCCACACTTCCCTCTAAGCCAGTGTGTACAAATCTTCTGTTGTCTCACTCCCTGCCCTCTACATTTTTTCATATAAACCCAATGTTTTCGTTGGGAGATGCCACCAACTTCGAATGTATTCTCTCTTCAAAATTATTAACAATTATTTTCATGCTTCAAACTATATTTAAAAATAAGATTCAGAAATGTGCTGCACTATTCAAAATAAATGGAAAAATATAGTCTCTCTGCTGAGGAGTGCAATTTATATTCAGCATGAACTAGGAAAGGAAAACCAAAAACAGATGGGGAAGGAAGAAAAGAATTAAGGTGACAAGTAAAAGATCATGAAGTGAGCTGCTAATCCACAGACACATATTGGTGCTGCTGATAACAGGGTAAGGTTGGGAGATTCTTTTCTGATTTCTGTAACCAGTCCTCCCTCTTGTTTTTCCAGGGTTTTATAGCACAACTAAGTGGTTAGCACTAATTTCAATGAGGTGAGGGTGGAGGTGCAATGAGCAGACTGGTTTTTTTCCCCCAGCACGACAGACTGTAGAGATGGCATAGAAATGCCTTGTGGGACAAGATTAAAATGCTATGGAGGTTGGTGTTGTTGGCAGTGAATGGAGTAGAGGATGGGAACTGACCAGTGGGTCACAGAGAGCTGCTGAGGCTGTATGAGGTGAAGGAAAAATTATGAAGTAAACCCACGATGCACAGAGCAATATGTTAGGCAGCAGAAATGCAGTCCAGGAAACAACAGTGTGTCTAGTGGATGCTGCTAAGGCTGCTGAGGCTTTAGATACCCAACAGAATGGGCTGTGGCCGAAGGGAGCAGGGATGCTTGGGAGATGGTTGCTTGGGAGCATGATGATGATAGTGATCAAAAGTCACAGAACAAAAATTCTCGTGTAATGGGAATCTACTCAGAGGATCTACAGAGGTGGCCATGCAAATAAAGTGGTGGGTGATGGAGATGCTTTTGGCAGCTGTGTTTTTTATCAACCTATAGAATTAGTATTGACACACAAAAAGAAGGAATCTGCAATGGTTGAGGTGGGAGCTACACCTGTCTGAAGAACCCAAGTGGGCAGAAATGCTCACTCACTCTATCACAGACCCTGAAGCTCTTTTGAACTGCAGCTTGAAGTTTTTCAGCTCCCTCAAAAAGTTGAACCACAACATCAACAAGCTCTTACCAGAATCTCTTTTTCATCCCACCATTATCAGCATCTTGCATGTGGACTGGTAGAATGCATCATCTGTTGGCTTCTTTAATCTCTAAACATTTTTTACACTCAATCCTTCACTGTGTCCTTTCCTCATCCATAACTTCTCTCAAGTTGTCCTACTCCTCATTTCACATTTTATACCCTTCCTCTCTTATTCTGACACCTCTCATCCCTCATTCTAATCAACCTCGCTCTGTTCTTGCAATCAGCTATGAAACATGCAAAGCTGATAGGCATATTTATAGGCACATCACTTACACAGACCAAACCTGGGTCAAACCTTTGTCTGTGTCTTGGTCAAATACCTGCAAAAAGCATTGAAATGGCCATAGGAGGCCATACAAAAGCCCATGTGGGCAGCACAGTGAAGAGCATAGGAAGCAGGGCAGATATTGAATGAGATTTCTAGTGGTTTATTTCCTCATTTCTGATCATCAGTGATTTAGAGCTCTCCTGCTAATAGCTGGCACTCAGCTCAGTTTGGTTTTTGACTATAAGGTGGTATGACAGGATGGGTTATTATTTTACATTTGAAAAATAACAAAATCTGTCAAACATGCCCATCACATGTATAAATCATTCTTAGTTTGTCCCCTTCGTACCTGCTTTCTCCCCTCCAACTTTTATTGCTGAGCTAGTCTTAGCATATCCTATGTTTAAGAAATTAGGGTCCCCTAAGGGTTGTTATAACTAATAAAGATGTTTTTAAAACAGTCAGTTTCCACTCCTGGTCCTAGTATATGGAAACTGAATACCTCTTAGGATTAAAATAACTGTAGCAGGGTCGCCCCAAAAATGTAATTTTCTTTGTGAGTCTTGGTGCCATTAACATTTGTCCTTCACAGTTTTCTGGAAAACACAGTGTTCTCTGAGATTTAAGATAGTGTCTTAAATTTAATTTCTCTTCCATGTTACTGCATGGAAGACAAATCTGAAAACCTGGAAACCTAAGGAGAGATCAGGGAACTGTGGTACTGAAGAGGTGGGTGGTGTGGAGATTACAATCCCTTGATAGGATTGTGGGATGGGTGTGAGGTGTGAAGGATGCTTTATGACTACAGTTTTCAGTGACATTGGACACAGCTCCATGAAAACCTGGATTTCATTAGTTCTACTTTACACAGATAAAACCCCCCAACCAAACACAGCCCTCCCAATCTCTCCTAATCTACCCAATTTATAATTGGGTTTTTGTCATAGTTTTCTTTTAAGTTAATGTTAATTTCACCTTGCTGACAGTGGCTGTGTTCACCAAACAACTCAGAACTCTGGAAAATATTGCTTAATCCAAAGTTATTCTGGTTCTGCATCACGAGAGCTGTCTGTGGAGCATTGGCTTGAGGCTGATCCTCTGCAAAACAGGCTGAGAGATGGCTGGGCTCATAAACACACAGAACAGGGACCTCATTTTGCTTTGCAACCAAGGAATTTCCATCTTCTTTCTCCTCCTCTATATAGGTCTGGAAAACGTGAGCCGCAAAATCAACGAGTAGCAAATTCAACAAAAGCCAGGATCCTAGTTTTAAAGAAAAATAAAGATAATTATGACAACCTTTTAATTTGCTTATCTTTACGACATGTTCTTTTTTTAAGGGCTTTGTTATAGTAATGGGCTAGATAAAGTAGCAGATCAGCACTCATTTAACAGGACTTACAAAATTACGTACTTTCAGATATCACGGCAAAAGAGGCACCAAGTGCAGATTTTAAACATGAGCAAAAGCTTTTTCCCTTATTTAACTTAGCGAGGAAAGTGTATTTGTGTTCATTTACTTTCCCGTTCAAGTTTTTCCCCCACATTCACTTCTATTACAAGGCTTATCAATAACAAGGTATCATTCCCATTCTTCCCTCAGACAGATAAATCATTCCACCTCTTCCCAAGCAAAACCTCCTACAGACATTTGTATGTCTTGTATTTATGACATTAAATGGCCTACGCCTACCTTGCAGCCTGAGCCATAACTGCTAAAAACCAAGAGAGACTCACTGAGGCCATTGACATTTGAATCATACCTTGACTGGAAGCCCTTACAGTAAAAATTAGATCTTCTTCCATGCCATAAATCTGTGTAGGAATTCATGAAGTAATTCATAACCTCTGCATCCCACAAACAAGTTTATATGGACATCAACAAGGAAGTACCACAATATATATGAACAACCAAGGTTTATAGAGCTTTAAAAATGAAAAATTTGAAATATGTGTCTGAGAAGCTGCTGCTTCTGCTGTTCATCCTTTTGGGGGTCTTTAAACTATAGCAAAGTAGGTGGAAGCACTTGTTTACCTATGGAAAGGGATTTTTATAGTTGGAGTTGAAAGTATACAGACCTGACACTAGTAGTCCAAGAGTGTTTCTATCAGTCTTTCAGGTGTTTTCAACATATTCAATAAGAGTAAGCATGAAACCAAAGCTACCGCTCCAGTTGTCCCTTGGGATAATACAGAGGGACACAGTTTTCAAGAGGGACTAGGTTGAAGCAGCTTGCTGCAAAGGAGGAATGCATAGGTCACTACCCAGACCTCGTGGCTTGGAATGCCTTGGAAGGTAGACCAGTAAGGAAACAGAGGTGTGTGAGCTGACATGAAACTCTGAGAGGGAAGTATGTAGAGGCACAATTGTTGGAGAGGAGGTGGAGCTGAAGAAGCTGTAGAGGTCCCAGTATCCCTGACTGCGGCTCCACACTTGCTCTGTGCTGCCTTTCAGCAGGGGTAAGTGCACAGTTCCTCCAACTGAGCTTAGGCATCACCCATGTGGAGGCTGGGCTGGGCTGGAAAAGGGTAAAAGTCAATTCTAAATTCTGAGGTGTAAGTATGTCAGTATATTATGTGTGCTGGATGTGGCAAACTCCAAGGCAAGAGGTTGAGTCAGAAGTAAGTTTGGTTTTGGTTACTAGTATGTGGTTTATTTTGGGTGTGAGACACACTGCATTTGGCCAGACACACTGGCACTCACACATTTCCCTAAATAATTGTGTGTCCTCAGTGTGGATGCTACATAGTTTGACTTGCAGGATGCCCACCATTCCTGCAAGAAATGCTGAGATTTAAGAAATTTTTGAAAAGCAATGACCCTGAGAACTTTTACACCAGATGGCTTGTTAACAGAACTGCTTCAGCCTGTCTGCTAAAACTCAATATCCTAATGGAATAGAAACATGTGAAAGAAGGGACATCATTATATCAAATAACCCAACATCTTAAAGAACTGGGGTTATTAAGAAAGAGGATAATAATGACCAAATTATTGGAGCATCACAGCGAAAGATTAAAAAACATTTTTAACTCTCTCTTATATGAGAATAAATTATATCTTAGTGTTATTTAAGTATAGTAGGAAGACTGTTGTAAGTGAGGTGAAAATATAAATTGTAACTACTTCAAGAAAGGCTCTGCAGAGGAAGACATGCACTTCATCTGTTGCATCCCATCCTTTGACAACGGTAGAACAAGGAGCCAATTCATGAAACTCTTCTTGCAGTGGAAGGAGGGAAGAGGATGTCATCATCATGGGGAATTTCAATAAATATTATGCTTCCAGTACAGCTCTTGGAATTAATTCCCAGCTTCCTCATTGCCAAGAATATTGCATGTAACATCAGAGAGTTTTGTGCAGAACTCCTCTGGAGATGAAGAAATGACTCATTATTTTATTATTATTGTAATACAGCAGCTGATGGACAAGGGACCCTACTGTGCTCTGTGTTCCTTGCAGACACAGAACAAAACTCTGATCCTGCTCAAGACAGTTTATAATCTAAACATAAGGCAAAAGGTAGCAAGCAGCTTGATGCAGAAGAAGGGTGTGTTCATAGACGCACAAACACAGGCATTATTGGGGTAAGAATACCGAAGAACACATAATGCAACAACCTTAACAATACCCCTTTATTATGTCTTTGCAGGAAACACATGAAAGTACAGTGTTGAAGGGGCATTTCAAATAAGATAATGAGATTTTCTTTGGCTATTTATGTGAAGCCCCATCCAAAAGAAGAGTTAAAAATAGGAAGGTGCTGCTTTGAAATTCTAAATGGCGGTTCATAGAGCTTGGGATTAGATGCTTCTCGCAGGAGATGGTGCATTTCTGCAGAATGAATAATAGAGAGGAGCCTCTGAAAGGTGTTACAAATTACAGGAAAGGCAGTTAGGGTAGAGACTGAACTGATTTAAGACATGGTTGTATCACTTCAAATCACTTCAAGTGAACATGACTGCACAGTTCCTTCACTTCTCCTGCCTTGCACTGGTGTGTTATGGATTTGATGTTTGACAGCTCAGAGCCCTAAAACAGAGAGAAAACTAAGCCAGCTAAAGGAGTGACTATTTTCAGTCAATTTAACCTTCAATAGGTGTGCTGCTGGCTAGGCAAACATTCAGGTCAGTGTAAGGCATAAGGAAAAAGAGCATTTGGAAGGAGCTGTTGTCAGATGACCTAACTACCTTTTTGGCAAGTAGTTATCACAGTGACCTACTCTAGCAGAGCAGCTCTTTCTGTAATATATAGAAAGAACTCGAAGGACTTGGAGCTATCACTTGAGAGACCTGGCATGTTTATGGTTTTGGGATATTAGTGACCCCAGCTCTCCATCACACCCTTCTGCTGTGGTGTGCAGCTCTGGTATGGAGAGAGAGCAGAGGCTCTCACTTCAGGCTGCTGTTCTTCATTTCCCCACAGACAAACTATGACTTCTGCCAAAAGAGGGAGTCCTGCCCTTCCTGCCGTCTCCAGCTGCATGCTCCTACTCTCCTCCCTTCTGCTACTCCTAGAGTTTTGCTCAGACAACTGGTCTCGTTAAAAACTAATAATTTAATTTCCCTGACCTGTCTATAGCTACATCACCAGGAGAATGGGGATTGAAGGAAGGGAGTAGAAAGAAGGGATGACTTTATTAAGTAGCATGAATTTATGTCAGTTAAAATCATGGAGTCACAGAAACAGAGAATAGTTTGGGCTGGAAGGTATCTTAAAGACCATCTGGTGCCAACCCCTCTGCCCCACACCTTTCACTGGATCAGGTTGCTCAAACTCCCATCCAGCCTGGCCTTGAGCTTCCAGGGATGGAGTATCCACAGCTTCTCTGGGCAATCTGTTCCACTGTCTGACCACCCTAACAGTAAAGAATTTCTTCCTAATATCTAATTTAATACTACTCTCCATTTAAAGCCAATCCCCATTGTCCTGTCACTACATGCCCTTATGAAAAGGCCCTCTCCAGGTTTCTTGTCAGCCCCTTTAGGTACTTTTAGATCTATTGCCTCTGTTATCTCAGGTCAGAAAGGGGCATATGAAGTGAGACTCACAAAGATCCTACTTACCAAAACTGTCTGTCCTGTTGATGGTCAGAATCTTGCCTACAGTGCTCAGTAGGAGGTTCCATTTCAACATAAAATCTGATGCCTGCTTTTTAAATGTCTCTTTACTCCTGCTTGGCTGTAGATAAAGAAAATAATTGGTTTATGATAAAGTTGATTAAAAGAATTCCTTACTGTGTGGCAGACTGTACAAACTGGGAAATAGTTTCGGGTTTTTCAGGTTTTTTCAAGGTGGAAAAAGCAACAAATATTTCTTTCTGTTAGAATCCTAAAATAGCTGAGGTTGAAAGAGATCTTTGGATATTACCTAATCTGATCTCTTGTCCAAAGCATAGCCAGCTTAGTTCAGGACTTGTCCAACCAAATTCTAAATATTTCCTTTCCAGGCAATCTCTTCCTATGCTTAATTACTCTCATAGTACATTTTTTTCCTTTCTATTGCCTTATAACTTATAACTGTGAAACCCCAGGAAAAGTCCTGCTCTTTCTTCTCTATACCATCCCATGAGGTAGCTGAGGGTTCTATGAGATGAATGCACCACAGAACTGCAAAGTATCTTTCTTAATTTAAAAAAGAAAAAAAGTCAAATAAGTACAGTTTACTTTGTTTCTTCAGAAAGGGAAAAAAATTACCCCAACTCTAAGTGTCACCCAGACCCAAGTTAACTGGCCTGGCAACCAACCCAATGCAGCATACAAGCTACTACTAATTCTGAATCAGGGAAGGAAGAGGGATGGTAGAATGGGTAATCTATCAAAAGGTACATATGTGAGGATGTTCATATTTGAATATTTCACAAGAGCTAGAGACTTTGTACTAGAAGTTGTCACTCTCCTACTACCTGCTAAAAGCCAACAGTTTAGTGAATCAAGGATTTCAGGATTAGGAAGGATTCTTTTCAATTTTAATAACATATTACTTTTGAATTTTGGTTTATTAGCAACTGCAATAATACGTGTCTATGAAATGAGAGCAGATACTGAAACCACTTGAGTGGATATATGTGCAGAAATATGCTTGTAGTTGTTTGCACAGATGGAATTTTTGTATGCCAATTAATTTTCCATTTTCTGCAGCATGCATAAATTGTATCTATGCAAATCTGCAGTCTGTTCAGGCTGCTAGTGTGCAATGTAGCTCCTGCAGACTAGTGACAGTCAGCATGTAGCAAGATAAATGATGTGATCACTCTTTCTTTACTGAAATTATTAATTTTATACCTTAATGACAAAAGTCTGAAGATCTGAAGAGAAACAACTCAGGAGGTCTCGAATATCTGTGGAAGATGTCAGCGAAGAAATTAAGTTTTTCAAACCTGTGAAATATAGAAGAGAGATCATTACATGAAGTGATTGGCTTGCCTTTTGGTTTGTTTCTGCACTTTTTAGGTTTCTTTTTCTTTTATCTTTTCCTTAAAATAGATTAAGACATCTGTTTCTAGTATTTTGATTAATCTATAGTACCCTACTTGGACATGAATGTGAATTCTGACTGATTTCAATTTCCACCATAACTCCACTGACCTAGTCATCATGGCAAAGGTGACAAGAAAAAGCACTTCTAATGAAAAAGCTGGAATTTGGTTATAGGTAATACTAACATATGCATCTGAGACTTTTTGTGGTTGAGAAAAAAAAATAGTCTTGATTTATCTCTTGAAGGGAGAAAACAGTTTTAAAACAATAACATTAAGTGCAGAATATTCTATAGGCCAACAGAATTACAGATAATGTTGCCACATATCAGTGCAGCTGTTCCCTCAAAAGATTGGAACCTACTACCCAATGCCAAAAGGGAAACTGCATCTCTCTGAGCTTATACCCTTCTAACTGAGATATCTTCCTTCAAGAAATCACATGTATAGAGTCTGTGAAACCTTGCTTATTATAAATAACAGTTTGCAAAAGCAATGAAAACAGAGAATGCAATAAATCCACCTTGGAAAGAGTAAGATCATGATAATATAATGGAAAAATGTAATAAGAGTGTTCTGTGCAGTGGTTTTGATTTTAACATGTATACAAATATTATTGAAATGGTTCTGCTGATTGTTCTGTGAAGAAGGCAAATTATTATTCCTGCTGAAAGCAGTCACAGAAAGTCTGTGGCATATCCCTTGTCAGTGCACAAGTCAGTGACGGAGCAGGAACAAAGAGCTGAGGTTTCCCCCGTCAGTTCTGTACACAGCCTAGTCCAACTTGCTAACATTTTAAATGGTAGACCATTAATTAAAAATTAACTTGCCATTATGTTTCTCTTCCTTTTCATTAAGCTGGCAAATACATTATGTCACGGCTGCATATAAACTGAGTATTTTATTGTTTACAGCACAACGTTGATCCCACAGGCCACAATACAGCAAAATGACATGAAAGCTGAAAGGCTTTGTCCAGTTCAGCATACAGTATTTTAAAACCTAGCTATAAGAAATGATTTTATGTGTTTTGATTAATAACAGAGAAAAATGTAAAATGCGATGATTGAAAACATCTTTTCTGTCAAAGGAAAGAAAAAATTAATATCCCTCCTTGCCAACCTTCTTCTAGAAGATAAATAACTCAGTAACACAAATCCCACTCCTACTGCCACAAAAAGCTTTCAGAGAGAGTCAGAACGGACAGCCTTTAATTCTTAACCTTTAGAGTTAGGGGGATAACACCATGTGATCCATTCTCAATTTTATTGGCTTTTTTCCAGCTCTTTGGGTTACAGCAAGACAGTAATTCCCATTAGGGCAGATGCCATGAATGAGCAAGAGGAAATACTGGAGCTTTAACAATGGCAAACAAGGGCTTAAGTGGATAGACAAAATATACCCCCAAAAAATATTACATTTGAATTGTATGTTTTTCTGCCGCTTCTTTGGATTCCTAAACTTCTCTTGAAAGAGGTTTTTAGTCACATCCAGAGATCGCTCGTTGAAGACAGCGTGCAAGCCTGATCGCAGAACAGTGACTGTGCTGTTGTTGTTCAAGAGTGCTCTTACTGTCTGTAGAGAATAAAAAAACAGTTAGTGCCTTTCATTCTCTCAAGCCCTTAAGTCAGCCAAATAAGGAAATTGAAAAAGGGGAGCTTCCCTTACTCAACACTAGACTTCATATGAGCAGACTCCAAACTGGGAGTCAGGGGGTATAGGATCAAAGGAGATAAGAAGTTGTCTTCAAGAGATTTTTGTTCTTTCCAATGACACTCTGTGTTGTCTGCGATGAAGCAGACAAGGCTAACATGCTTGAATTATCTGGGCAATTGCCTGGGCAGTTGGTTTTGCCTAGAGTTACTATAATTACACCAAATAACAGTATTTTGTCTAAAGCATGGAATGGTGTATCAGGGACAGCTTTCCCTCGATGTTACCTGTCCTTAATACATGTTTCAATTAAATTCAAAGGCAAATTCAATTCAATTGTCCAGTTGTCCAAACCTTTGAGAGAGTAAAAATGACATTAGAAATATGTTTATTAGTTAAAATAGTATCAGTTGGGATTTTATCCCATTTATCTGCTTATGAGTCACTTGTGAATGAATCTGTCTTCATATTTGTCCCAAAAAGTATTATTCACATAGATATCACAAACAATTTTCAGACTAACATCTGATCCTCATCTCTTCATCTTTTTTTAGTTAATTGCTTACATCACATAGTATTCCTTAAAATTCTTGATGAAATGATGAAAACAGTCAAGGACACTAAATCCAAATCCATTAAATTTTGTTAACCCATACATTTGGTCTCTCACTTCCGTACTGAAATCAGTAAGATCCTAAAGCCTTTGTTGGATTTTGGGCTTTTATATGAATAATCCTTGTCCAGTTGTGCCTTCCAGAGGAAAAAAAAAAGTTTTGTAAAATTCAGGAAAACTTCACGATTCATAAACATTTTAACAAATCCCATTTACCAGGTGCTTACCATGACCCCACAAGCAGCAGTGAATGCAGTTTGTTTGCAAATACAATTTCCAATCTTGTCATTCTGCTAACTTTTTTGAAACACTAAAAATATTCTGATTCTCACTCAGTAATCCCCTTCATCTAAGTTAAAGACAAAGGCATTTTTCTTATTTGACTTGGAGTTTTCAGTGTCAGAAGAAGAGCCTGCAACAAGAACACATGATCCAAAGGCTGGGAACTACCAGGGGCAGCTTCTTCAGTACCCTGCTAGCACCTGACTCCATGCCCCAACACTGCAGACTTATCACTTTAGCCGTTGGACTATACTAGATATAATTTTCTAAATGACAGCACTTAAATACAGCTTACCAGAGGCAGGAATCAGCTCCAGGAAATGACAAGCATCTTATTCACATTCCTTTTTCAAAGGGAATTTACACCTTTTTATGCTCTAATTACTTTTGCATGTCCAGGTGGTAGCAGCTGTCAGCCTGTTTTATCTACACATGATGGGAAATTTACTTTTTTTCTTTTGAATGCTGACCCTGACAAAATTGTTCACATTTTCTCACCAGATGGCTAAATTATTGCAAAGTACTCTACAAGGGATGGCGTGGTTACACTGTTTGCAGGCTGCAGCTGCACTGTGCCTCTGTAGTACTTCTCACCACAAGCACTCTCACCTGCTTTGACCATAAGTCTCTAGCTGAAATCCCAGGTGCATTTTAGACAGGGTAATTAGAAATATCATATTACTCCTATGTGAGAAGAGGAGATAAACTTCAGATTTGGATAGAAATAACTGAGGAAGGATGTGATGGAGATTTGCAGAGAGAATTGCATGAAGAAGAGTAGAAATTTTTTAAATAATAAAGTATTTTTTCACACAACAAATAATCAAATCCTGGAACTCACTACCCCAAGATGTTGTGATGTCAAAAATCAAGCTATTTAATACTATGATGTGGATATTAGCTGTCATCTCAGATTGCTGGAAGCCAGGAGAGTACAGTGGAAGAGGAGGAAGTTATTGCTTGCTCTACTCACACCCACTTCACATGAGCATCTGAGGAGGGCAACAGTGTGAAACAGGATACGAGTCCACACAAGCCTAGGATGGGTCTGACTGACTAAACCACTCAGCAGTCTTTCTAAGGGACATCCACTTGCCCATGAACCACTTGCATATTTTTCACAAGCTGAAAAGTCTAAACACCTGTGGTGTTCATCTCACCATCTTGTGCCTTGGACAGGGTGACACAATTTGCAGGAGAATATTAACTGGTATTTCTTTCCTACCCTGTTTCACTGGAGCCCAGCACCCATGGCTTTGGCAAGATCTATAACAGAAATTATAATCAAGGCTATGTGACTGCTGAAGGACTACAGAGATGCTCATTTACAAGACTTACACAGTCTCACTTATTGAAATTACTGGTTTTAAATTGATGATGGAACTAATAATCAAGTACAGTGGAACTCCTTTGCTTTTCTCTTGTATTTTGAAGAAGCTCTAGAGAAGGTGATCAGCAGACCCTGATTCTTGGGTCTGCTGTGCTCACTTTGTGCTGATTAAACAGTGTAAAGGGGATGTAGAGCAGCCAGAAGCTGCTGCTAGAGAATTTCCCCAACTAGCTGCAATTCTCTTGCCCTAAATCTTGAGGGCATAAATCTAATTTTGGCTCTCTGCAGCTTTTCTGCACATTAGGAATAGGGAGGGAAGACTCAAAAGCTACAACCAGCCCCTTACCATTACAAGAAGGATGATGTGAATTCTGAGCATGCAAATCAAATGCAAATGGCTGGGAATAGTTGACACTTGTGATCTTGCTGGATCATGTTCTTCAATGCATAAGAATCCCTGTTTAGAAGCACATAAAGCTAAACTTTTTGGGTATTACTATCTCCAAGGGCTGCTGCAGTAGATGGAAACTCTGAGTGCTTAGCACTTTACAGAAGTCAACTTGTTGCCTGTGTTAGCACACCTATGCATATTTGTGCATTATTAATTTTTTTTTAAAGTAAGAGGGGTGTGTGTTTTCTATTCTGCTGGTGATGAAGCCTTCCTTCATTCCTTCATTCCTTCCTTCCTTCTTCCTTCCTACCTCCCTTCCCCCTTCCCCCTCCCCCCCCTTTCTCTCTCTCTCCTTCCCTCCTTCCCTCTGTTTATCGTGGGGAGACAACACAGTGATTCAAGTCAGGTGGCATGTTGGGGAAATCTTGTCCTTGTTGTTTGAAGGAGAGAATATACCACCTGTTCTCTTTTGCTTTCTTCCCTATTTCTGAACTACCTCTTCTGCCATGGCCTGGACCGCCTCAAAACCCAAGGGTTTGGAAGGATCCAAGGACACCAATGGAAGAAATATTGCAGAAAGGGTACAGGCCTGCATAATAATGCAGCACTGAATGAAACTATTTACTTTGCCATGTTCAGAGGTTTAAAAATGCAGCTTCTGAAGGCACCTCTGTAGCTGAGAAGAATGATACTGCAGAACAAAAAGCAGGCAGAAATATTAATTGTTAGAGAGGTTCTTCTCTTTTTCTTCACAAGGAAAAAAGCCAATCTGAGTGACCGGACCCTGAGGAGGAAAGGGTAGAGGAGGCTACTCTGCATCCCTCTTTTCTAACACTGTTAAAGCAGAGGATGGAAAAGATTTTTCCAGCTGAACGCTGGGATCCTGAGCCCTTAGACACTTCATGGCCTACTCCCTGACCACGCAGCTTCTCCACAGCCAGTGTGTTAGTGATCTCCCTTGTGCAGGCTGCTGCAGCACTTGTCAGAGAGAGTGGTCAGGATGTTGCACAAAACCAACTTTAGAATACCTCCAGCATGTGCTGTCTGACTGACTTTGTCATGGATGAGTGACAATTGTCATCATTTCCAGTCATCATTTCCAGTCACAATGAGTGACTGGAAATTGTCATCTGATCCTTCCAGCTACTGTGTTCTCCTCTCCATGGGGGACCACTGACCACATCTCAGAGGCTTTTGCAGAATCCAGAGGGAGGAAAAGGTCCTGTCAGCATATTCATCTCAGGGAAGAGATGAGTAGGAGGGTGAGCATGATTTAGACCATGGTCAGTTAAGAACACCCATGCTGCTGCTGCTATTGTCTTATAGTGGAGCATCTGAAAATTAGTCCAAACTGCTTGTGTGAATGAGATGCCCAGCTTTTTTGCTTCACGGGTTCTGCAACATACCTTGGCCATGTTACAAAGGTCTGTCTGTCTCCTGAGTCTTTTTACAAACTCTTTAACTTCTGTTAAAGAAGAAGAGGCATATGTTTCACATCATTAATATTTTACAGTCTAAAATACAATAATGAAGACAGATCTTTTAAGTTAGAAAGTAGATCCCTAGGGGAGCTTTGGAGGGTAACAGAGAGCACAGTGGGGGCTCTGAGCCAGCATTATAGGCTGGGCTGGGGACCCTTGCAGTCAAAGCTTGCAAGGAGAAGCTGCCTGGGTCACCATTCTTCCTTCACTGTGAATCTATTAACCCATGATGTACAGGAAAGATACTTTCAATATTTTTTTACATTTAATACTTCCTAATTAAGACTAATGCTCTTTTACCTGTATGGTTTCAAGTGAATGAAAGCAACTGTAAATCTAAACCTCCTGTGTTTTGTTTAGACAGTTTACATTTCCACCTTTATGCATCTATAATTCTGCAGCACTGTGAATAGGAGTTGGTTTTTTGGTTCTACTTTTGTCCTGTTTATGTGTTATATATTATGTATAATTATTATATATATATATAATATATATATTAATATATATATTATGTCATAATATAATTATGAAAAGGTCCAAGAATACACTTCTTAAGAATAAAATATAAAATAACTAATTTTCAGTTGCAGGGAAATCAAGTATAAAGCAACTTCTGTAGACAGACAATGATTTTCAGTGAAAATTTCTGTTTCTATGATGTTTGTACAAAGAAGAAAGACCAGGATGCATATACAAAGGGTCATAGGTGATTATTGACATATATGTCCATGCACACACATGTTAAAAATACATTACTAAGCTTGCTCTGTCAAGCATTCGAATGTAAGAAATGCCAGAATTAAGTTTGTCTGAAAGTCTTTGTTAGGCATACGAATCCTAATACAAACTTTTGTCTACACAGGAGCCCTGCTTTACCACTATGGAGCTGGTCTTCAGTCAAGGAACAACTGAGCAACATGATGTTTTAGTCAGAATCTTCAGCATCATATATATAAATATACACGTGTGTGTATGTACATATTTACAAATGTAAACATATACACACAGAGTATATATATGTATATATACTCTATATATGTAGAGTACAGACTTTTTCCAATCATCCTCAATTCCTCTAATGGAAGTCATAGTTTCCCTATAGGAGTGTGGCTTTTTTCCCCTCCCTTTATATTGAACTGTGCTATAGCCATTAATTAATTTATCGGCATAAAACCAATTGCAAGGTGAAGAAACAGAATAATATCTAAATTTCAGAGGGCAGGCTGCTTATTGTTTGGTTATCTATACAGCCAAAGCAATCATGACAAAAGACAGATCTTTAAAAAGGTTTAAGTACACTTCAATTTACCATAAATTGGGAATAATTTTGTTTTAAATTTGTTCTCACACATTATCTGAGACTATTTATTTTTAACTGTATCCCAGTTAACTCTAGTTGTTGCTACTATTGAAGTTACATTAGCTAAACAAGTTTTTAAAATAATTTAAGAGTCTTGTAATACAATCTTTTCTACAGTTTAATGAGGAGTTATTTTTGAAAATTTCTCTTACTCAAACCTACCATTAGATTTGGATGTCTGGAGCATTAGTGGAAATCCTCCCAAAGGACTAAGCATCCAACATTTAACATTTTCACTGAACAATCTGATTGAGTCGATGTGTTGTGCAGGCACCTCCTCTAGGAAATCAGGAAGTAGGATGTTCTCCAGTTCCTAGAATGCAAATTCATGGCGCTGCAACAGATGGGTGTACTACAGATATTTGCAGCATCACCAAATAAAATTGTATTGATAGTTTAAATGTAAAGAAGCCCATTTTTTTTCTTCCAATTAAGCAAGAGCTAAGCTACCTTTATTAGCAGAAGAAAAAGATTTTAAGACTAAATATTGTTTCCTGAATTAATTACTAGACACTACTTAATGACCTGTTGCAAGTAAGAAGTAAATTATTTTTATCAGAAAACTGCATATTTCTATGTGGAATGTCACTGACAAGTGCAGTAGTGTTCTCAAAGGAAGAGTAACTCTCATAATCTGGAAAACAGTTATCAGTTGAAATTTCAGTCACATAACCTCATGCCAGAACCATAGACCACATTAATAACAGCACATTCCATTGATATCGGGGACTTTCAAATTAATACATAGGAGGAAAATGGAAGCTATCTCAGATTCCACTGGCTCCTTTCAAAACACGTACTATTCTCTCTCAGAAGAAGCCAAAGAACAGAGATGAGTAAGAACGAAAATCCCATTTGTACAGCACACAAGAAACAGTCGATCTTTCTCCTTATATAGAATTACTGAAAAGACATAAACACGTAGTAGCATAATTACGACAAGCAAATGTGGCTACAATACCTTGAATAGATACCTATCATAGCTTTTTAACAGCTGGCACACATCTGGTAAGCACATCAGTTCTATTCTTTCAGGCTGCAGAGACCTCCAGAACGACATGATACAGTCTTCTACCTGTCACACAAAGCCCTTTATGAATTTTCACTGATTTTGCACTTGTGAAATCCGAAACGTATTTCAGTAAAACAACATACAAGCACAGAAGCAAAGGAATGACTGTGGAGATGGGTCTTTACCTGGGCCCATCCTGGCTGGGCTCCAGTGTAAGTGGAAGCGTCCTGGGGAGGTGGCAACAACCTGAACCTCATAAGGTAGTGTAGGAAAGAGGGGAGAAACAAAGAATTGTGCCATAGACATGAGGATATAATGAAAGATATGTGTCCGTGGCTGTGTGTTATGTGCTGGGCTCAGACCTTTTGATGTGCCAGGCGGGTTCAGGATGTGTTGCAAACTCAGATTCTTGGAGCATGTTGTGTTAATTCAGAATTTCAAAATAACTCGACTGAATGTTCCTTTAGTCCGTAAATGATCATCTACCGTAGATCAAATAATGAAGTAAATACACTACACAGACACAATTTTTTTCTTATAATTGTTTGCTGTTATCAGTATAAGTGTTATTAAAGCAAAGGCGTACCTTGTCAAGCTTGTTCTCTCTCACCATTTGTAAAATAACTTGACAATAGTTGTAGTAGTCATTGGCAAGCAGTGCAATCTGTGACCAAAAAGAGAGTACAAAATGATCTCACAGCAAAAGAGCTAACTTGCCTTATGATAAGATACTTTGAACGTACCATTTCGTAGGGGTCTGTCTCACTTTGCACTTGCTCTCCAAGGAAGAACTGGTTGAATTCAGGAAAAAGGTATTGAAATGTCTCTTTCTCAGCCTTTAGATAAATGACAGATGGATAATACTCCAAATTCTTACTCTTGATGCATCAGAATTTATTTTGAACAATAAAAAGAAAAAAGATTGCAATTATTTTGTCAGTTTGGTTAGAGGTATGAAGTATTTTCAGTATTTTCTTGAAATTGTAAAGCACGATTTTTTAATAAGATTTATTTCTTCAGAGAAATGCTTGTCCTTTTTTTTCCTTTTTTTTTTTTAGAAAATTGGGATGGATGAAAGAAACAAGCAGGGCTGCCTAAACATTTAAATCCTAAACCATACATGAATTTCTTTTTAAAACCAGTGAATATTTAATGCAATACATATCTTCCACATATATTTTCTATAGCACTCATGTCACACTTGTAACCTTCTGCATAAGGCTGAAGATAGTTGTCAGGGTGACAGCACACCTCTCATTGGCCACCATTACATCCATTTCAGAGCACTCATTATGGCACCCGAGCACTCCATAAAAGTAAGACAGACATCCAGTCTCTCATTTTTTCCTCACTTTGATTCACATAAGTTTGTTGCTCATGCTCTGCTGGCTGGTATTCAACAAGCCATTCCATGACAGCTCACTGAGGAGAGAACTGCCATAGGTTACCTGTACATTCATCCTTTTCAGTGAGCAGGGGTTATGCTCTTTTTTCTTAATTGTTTCCTAGTATTTAAACACTTATCATGCCATCTGAGTATGTTGAAAAGACACTGTCTCACCAGCATGAGGGCCTGGTACCATGGGCCTCAGGCAAGGAAGGCTGTACCCCACTAACTCCCCTAATATTCAAAACCTGGGCTGTCAGCCGCAATTTCCGCTCTCAGTACAGACAAAATTATTTGAGCTGACATTAAGACTACAAAAATATTTAGCTAATGGATGAGATAGGAGTGGGGGAAGTAAGCACGTAGTGAGATTACACAGACAAAGATTATTTTGAAGAAGATGGGCTAACTGTATTTCATCAGAACATATTAGATAGCAGTTCTAACTAAACACACAGATTGACATTTTGTTATGTCTAATGTATCTGAAACTCACTGTTCCTTTTTTTTGTCTGTTCTTCTTGTAATCATCTGCATTTTCAGAACTCCAGGAATTATTACTGTGATAAAATATACAACAGAAAAAACCAAACTTTTAAAAGCTCACCAATTTATTCTGTATTTAGTAAGAAAATGAGCTCAAACTGGATAGAGTACACTAGGCTGGAGCATTGTGTTTGGGAAACAAACCCTGCTCTCTTTCCTGTCATTCAGTGGTCCCATGATTTTCTAACAAATCTGAAGACGACTTTCTTAATTTTAAGATAAAGCTGAAGTATTCATTATAAAGACAACAAGGTATTGGTCATTTAGCAGTGCCATGACTTTAAACTTCTTGCACCAGAATCACGGGTTTGTATTTGTAGCTGCAGTTTGTTTGGAATTATATAGTAATTATTATAAACATGAACATAACAAAAGCATAATCATCCTTGTGCTTAGATTTCACAGTTATGACGTTTTCTGCACTGTACATCAGTTTAAATAGCATTTTGTTTCTGACTTTCACCCATCTACTCTGCAAAGCTGGCCATGATGTTCCATACAGTCAGAATTTACTTGGTCCTGCACAGGCTTGATCAGTGACTTTTAGCTGGAAAGCCAGGGATGAAGGCACAACAGGCTGCTTTATTGCTGGACTATACTATCTCCTACCTGCCTCCCTGCCTGTTTTGCTGAGGCTAAGGCTAGTGGAGGGAGAGACAATGTTGCTAGTAAAAGGGGAGCACTGTGAGAGTTGGATGCCTCCAGTCAAGCCTCCATTTGCTGCTGGCGTGCTCACTGTCTATGAAGGCATTTCAAACTCCAGGGACCTTTGGGACTCGGCTGTTTTGAAGGGTGACAGACAGGGGCATTGTAGAAAATGTGATTCCACTGGTGATTGCCAACATTCAGGTTATCTAATCAGAACTTGGCTGCTGGGTTTCACTGCTGTGATGTATTATAAACCAGGGTACCACCATATGTCCTGAAGGGGCATAGGATAAAATGAATTGCTGTCTGAAAATTGCTGCCTGAAAACTCTGGCCACTGAAAATGCTTCCTCTCACTTCTCTGCTCCTCACAGGACTGACTCTTGCCACCTTTCCCTCTGCCACTACTCTGTGCCATGAAGGCTGTGCTCCAAAGAAACAACCAAACTGGCTGCCAAGACAGGGAACAACATTTATGCTGGGCATGTTTGGTAGTGCTGGTGACTCTTTCTCCCAGACATTTTAGAGGTGGTGGCTGGACAAAGGGAAACACATGTAAGTAGAGACATTTTATAACGCTTCTTTCAAATGAATCCTTCCTGCAGATTTCTAAAGCCTGTGAAACAAAATTAATGAATATTTTCCAGCTCCTGCTCTCCCTGAGAAGGCGGCCAGCTGTATTTTTTTGCTGCCGCTACTATGGCAACGTGTATCAGCACTGCTCGCCTCCAGTGGGTTGGCTCCCACGGCAGGCTGGCTCCCGCTCCCCCCGCACAGGGACATCGAAGGGTGAGAAGGGGTGCTGCGTGCGTTCTTCTGTGCCCCGGCAGCTAGCCAGGAGCTCAGGGGACATTAAATGGAATATCTATGGAATGCTAACATCTATATGCCCCCACTGTCAGCAAAGGGGATTGGGATTCACCTGGTGCCTGCAGAGGTGCTTGGCTGTACGTCAGAGATGCTCACTTCCCCTGGCGAGCAGTGCCTGGGTAAAGACAAAACACACAAAAGAGGAGGTGGGTGGGAGAAGGGGAAAATGGGTGACAGCAAAATCACAAGGAGATTCACCATCTCTCTTGCAGAGTTTGGATGATGCTGTGGAGTGGGAACTAGAGCTAAAATGGGAAATACAAGATTGGGGAGGACAAAAATATTAACAGAGACAAATGGGAAGGACAAAAGAAAAATGAAAGGAGGAAAGGTGGTGAATGTGCATGCTGTTGACTGTTAGATTACACTGAGATTAGAAAGTTAATTTGCTAGAATCATATCAGATTTTTTTAATGAAAAAATCATGGGTTTGCTTCACTACACAGTCAGGAGCCCAAACCTTCCCTATAAAGCAACTCTTACAAAACCAAAATTCAATTACTTTTTTTTTTAACATTGCTGTAGTCTGAGCCACAGAAAGTACCATCTTAGGGAGTGCTTGTCCTCAAAGCTCCCATTCCTAGAGGGAACGTATTCCTATTATAATGAAAATTGGTAATTAACATATTCCTTTAATGTCTGTAATGCATTTGGAATCTTCATGGATTACAGTTGTGCTTATTTGCACTATTTTCATAACATCATCATCAAATCTGTGGTACACGGATCTTCAAAGATTCAAAGATTTCTAAACGAACCAGCTCACAGGTGGTTCTTATTGCTCCTTGTGTGAACATGTTCCAATCCTGACACATTCGAGGCCCCACTGACTATCAACATGCAAATGCCTTCTTTGTATTCAGAGGCACACCATCTTACTGCCATTTCTATGACATCAACAAGCATAGCTCCCAAGCTGCCAGATCCTTCAGAGGCCTAGTTCCTCACTACCAGCACCATATCAATTGCTGACTATTTCATCATGGTCAAGAAATATCCTTTTCAGTAATTAGAAAGAATGGTTCATAGTTTTGAAACAATCATTTTCTTCACCAACCCGCAGGGTGGATGGATGCCTTGATCTCTAAACTGGGCCCTGGGGTCCACCTTCCCCTGCAGTAGGTGCAGCAGAAAAAGGATGTGCATGTTGGACTTTATTTATGGATGGGAGGGCACAATAGTAATTTAGGACACATTGACTACTGAAACAGATATCTTCTGTCCCTTCTGGATGGAAGTGGCAACAAGCCAGAGAAATATATCCCATTACAGGAGTCTGGCCCACAGACCAGCATTTGAACTGCACTGAAATGGTATATTAAAAATCTTTTTCACTCTAATTTGGAAATTTCCACACCAACACACTCTCAAAAACTGAGATGTTATGTGTCAAATACCTGTGGCATGGGTATACATATGATTACCTATGTGAGAACAAAATTTCTTCTTGCAGGTAGAAAAGTCTACAAGTTTTAATTATTCTTTTTTTAAATTTCAATTTTAAAATTAAAAAACAATCTAGAATTTGCCATTGCTATTTTACCAGCTTTGTTGGATCATAAAAAATTAACTGTTATTTCAAAAAGTACTGAACTTGATGAGGTATTTCCTTGATGTATTCCTACTTAAATGCAAAGAATGTACAAAACTCCATACAAATGAAAACTGATTTATTTGGTTGAAGCTGATGCTTATTTTGTATGTGACCTAATTATTTCTTTCAAAGTTGTGCTACTCATGCTTCTCTGGCTGTGTCTTGTGCTTTTTTTACTGCTTTCTCTCTGTTTTTTCCTGCTATGCTCCATGAGACACTAAGAAGTAATTGTGACACCCGGCTGCCCAGGTTTTGTGGGGCTGTATGTTGGCTTGGGACAGAGACCTGTGGCTGCATTTAGAGTGGAAGCTGTTCTGATTTCAGCTGTCTGGCTTCACTCAACAGCTTAGTGTCTTCTTATTTCTGTCTGAAATGAAGGAAGCATCAGACAAGATAATTTTGTAGTTAAGGGACTTTTCTATTGCAACTAGAAAGATGGCCTTTATCTAAATAAAATCTGTATATTTTGATTTATTTTTTTTAATACGAAAAGTTATAGAATCATAGAACAGTTTGGTTTGGAAGCGACTTTCAAAGATTATCCAGTTCAACTCCTCTGCCATGGGTAGGGCACCTTTCCTTAGACCAGAGTGCTCAAAGCCTCATCCAACCCGGCCTTGAACACTTCTCGGGATGGGCATCCAAAATTTCTCTGGGCAACCTGTGCTAGTGCCTCACCACCTTCACAGTAAAGAATTTCTTCCTAACACCCAATCTAAACCGACCTTCTTTCTGCTTGAAGCCATTCCCCCTTCTTCTATCACCACATGCCCTGTATAAAATCCCTCTCCAGCTCTCTTGTAGGTCCCCTTTAGATGCTATAAGGTCTCCCTGAAGCCTTCTCTTCTCACGGCTGAAGAAACCCAACTCTCTCAGCCTTTCTACAATAGGACAGCTGTTTATGTTAAGAAACAGTATCAAGATCAGTAGCTAGCTAGTTTATTTTAGCCCTTTCCCTGGAATACCTTCCCTTTTCCTTTGTTTGACCAAATTAAATATAGGTTTTTAGGAGTAGGAGTCTGGGCAGGCACCTCTGCTGGTGGAGAAGGAGACGGAGGTCTGCAGCTAGTGCATCAGCTCCCCTGTGGTTAAGCATGGGCTGCAGCGTGTTCCCCAGCCCATTGGAGAAGATGGCTCATTTCCATGAGGAAGGCCAAGAACAGAAGCTATGCTGGCATATGTGATACATCTGTCTCCCAGTTGTAGCTAAAGTCCTTCTTTTTGCACCTGGCCCAAACTTAGTCAGCAGTGGTTCTTTGGTTCCTCCCGCTTTTTCTAATTTTTCCTCATGTTTTTATGCTGAGAGGAAAAAAGAGCAACAATTCAAATTGTTTTGTTCTCTCTCATCTCTCCTGTGACCAGAACGATCAGCTCCGACTTTACCCATCAAGATTGCTGTTTTCAAGTGATGCTGCAGGAAAACTTTCTTTCCCTGAAGAAGAAAGACCAGCATAGACTTAGCCAGAGACCTTTAATGTTTCTTGAACAGTGGACAAGACCTTTCCTAATTGTGGATATCAGTTCTTATATCAAATCTCAGGCTGGTTCTGGTCATACTGGGTGCAGCGGATACGAAGACTATCACTTCAGTAAAGGGTGTCATGAGAAACCAGCCTATGAATAATTTGTTTGGTCTCACAACAACTGACTGCCACTTGATTATCTGCAGAACCTGATCCTCTGCACTATCCCATCATTTACTGTTGTCCTTCTATGGACTTCTGCAACATTTCTCTGCTATAAAACCCGTAGAGAAAGCCAACAAACCTATGGGTATATTTTTTCACGCTCCTGCAGAGCATGCACTCAAGTAATTGAATATTATATAAAATATCACAGACACTGAGAGTTTCATCATTACCAGATATCTCGGTGCTTAATAGGCTGACTTGTATTACCCTAACATTCATGCTGTAGAATAATGCTATATCTGCATATTAAAGAATAGAAACCAAAGTACAGAATTTACCCATATACACACCAAAGTAGTGTACAATAATATAAGACAGTGAGGATACAAGACTGGTCTTCAAAGTCCAAGGCATATCATAATTTTCTTCTCCTGTGCATTAAAAAGAAGCGTAAAACTGTTACAGACTGGCAGCATTTTCCTTCCTTTTTTTCTGGGGAGAAAGGCAAGCCTGTGTTTTTTTTATTGGAACTATGAGCTTGACCATGAGAATTCATCCTCTCCTGCCTACAATTGGAGCATGCTCCTTCCTACACTCTAATCTGCCAAAGTATTTTACATTCATCAATTATTTTTAGGCTTTTAAGTTTTGCAATCAATTTATACTTGTCTTACACTGTCTTCTCTTACAAGAGGTGATTTTTAAAATCTGATCTTTTAAAATTAAGTAAAGGAAGCATTTTTGAAATAATATGCCTCAAGTAGTAAAAAAACCCAGATAAAATGACTGTGTGTAGGACTCTTCAAAACAGCGCAGTCATTTATACCTCAATACAGGTCTCTTCAGCCTACTATTCAATAAGGAAGGTGATACAATGTCATGAAGGCATTTCAATATGGTTTTTTTGACCTCCCATTTTGAGTCTCAATATATTAAGCTCTTCTTTTAGGTTTGGCACGAGTTCTTGCTCTTAAGATTTACATGGCTAAAATGTCCAATTCAAGGAAGTCCAGCTAGGCAAGGTCTGTTTCCAAAATGCAATTTCTCCATTAGGGTGCAGCACCTAATGGCACAGGACTTTTATAGTGTGCATAATGAGAAGAAAAATATAATGCTGTTGTCAATATTCAACAGATGATTTACAGACTTTTATGTACAGACTATATATATACTGTCATGTGACATTTTTTGATTAAAAAATTTTAAAAAACAAACCTGAGATAATTTTGTTCATACAGAAGACAGCAAAAACGTGCATAAAAGGAAGAGTTCTTCTTGATAGCTATTCCATCATAATGATATCTAGAAAATTAAAAAAAAATCAACTGACCATATGATTTTCATCGTCATTAAATAATTCATAATCCTCCTTTGAAAGCAGATCATTCTATTTAACCAAAGACAAAGTAAAAAAACCCTTATGTTTGTTTTTTAAATTATGTTGAATATTTATTTTCCCCACCAGAAAAAAAATTACGTAAACTATTTACAAACTCTTTTTAACAGTTTTTGCCCTGGAATGATACCTTCTTCTAAATGAAAAAAAAATAAGCCAGTGAATAGGGTGCAACAGATTTGTACAGGACAGTTGGTGAAGTCAGGGACCAGAGTCTCAGCAGACAGAGGTCTTCATATACTCATGGACGTTGAAGGACTTAGTGCAGCTGTTTCCTGGCTGTTCGCAGTAGTTTGAGGACTGGATGGCCCATCAGTGGTCATGGTGAGCTAAAACTCAATAAACCTGCCAGACCTTCTCTAAGGTTTATCCCGAGCTCAGTGAGCAATGCAGTCACCACCTCTGCTACCAAGGTGTCTTGAGCTGGCTCTTCCCAGATTGGGCCACGATGAAGCCAAGGGAGCGGTGACGTGGTTTGCGGCCACCAGCAGCCAGCAAAGGGTAACCTGCTGCTGATGGAGAGAGCATGGAGGCTGGGGGCTACCAAACACCATCCCAAATACTTCCTACTATGAGGAGAAGCCTGGGAGTGTCTGCAGGGAGGCACTCCCAAATTAAAGGATCTTGTGGTTCAAGCTGATAGCAAGTCCAGACTAGTGGAGAAAAGCCACAGATCAAGTAAGGGCATGTTGTTCTCAGAGCCCGTACTTGACAGCTTCACAAAATGCTTGTAAAATTTCTCTGTCTCACTGTCCTTAAAACATCCCCTTTCCCAGTCTGGATGTTCAGAATATGATTATAATTTTGGATACAAAAGAGCATCAAACTCTCTGTGCTCTAGAAGAAGAGAGGAAAGGGAAAAGAAAGGAGAGGTAGGAGGAGGGTCTGAAGTCTGATTTAAATGGTTTGAAACTGCTTACAGCATTTCCATTGACCATCAGTATGTGCTGGGTCACTCCATGGATATGTGCAAGGATGAAAAACACAAGACAGACATCAATCATGGCTTTTCTGGCCTTGAGACCCAGTGTCTCAGGAGCTCCGAGTAAGGTTGCGATGTCTAGCAGATACCTCATGCAAACCATGGTGTTAATAGCCAACACAAATCAGAGCAATAATTTTTTTCAAAGCAGTCTGACCTGGAATTCGTGCCCTACCAAAGCAGATCCAATATGGTGGTTTTCATGGAATTTACTCTATTTTAACATCCTTGGTGACACCATGAATCACTCTGGATATTGTGATGTGTTACAGACTTGCAACCAACAATTCAGCTGCTATATTGCAGTGCTGGGGCTGAAAAGTCAGCCACTTTAAAATTTTATTAGAATAGTTAGAAATAACATTTTCAAAGAAAGGACATAAAACCAATACCTGATACTCCCTGCTGTGGTCCGCTTTCTTGTCACCAGACCCGGGAAAACTAACTGAATAAGCTGTAAAGACAAACACAAAATTACAGATACTTCGCAAATTCATTCTAAAATGCAAAACTGTATCTGCCTCCATTTTTTGTCTTTATCACTTTGTTTGCCTTCCATCATTTGCAGGCTAATACCTGTTCTTACATACCTCTCAAATGGTAACTGTTGAACAGAACTCAATGAGGCTTTTGTGGATCAAAGGCTAAGTAATTTAAGGGATTACTTCCCTAAGGTAGGAAATTTTTTGTAGAGTAGTCTGTTTTACCTTGCACTGAAAAACAGTCAGTGCTCACACCAGTAGACCCCCCATGATCAGGGGGTCAATCAGCTGGGGGAACTTGAGGGCACTGTGATGCCCCCTTACTCTGCCAGACCTGCAAGCCTTATTCAATTAAGTAGGACTTACACAAGGGGCTTCACCAACCCACTTACACTTGCAAGGTTACTGACAGGATAGGGCCCGACTTATCTGTTTTAAAAGGACCTGAATCATCAAGCTGCAAAGCAACCTTTTGACCACCATGGTGGTAAGTGCAAACTGAGGTCATGCAGCATCTGTCAAGGTCAGGCTCTACAGTGTAATTAGTTATTGTCAGGTTAATAATCCACTCCACTATGATTGTTCTGCATGAGCTGTGTTGTGAAGACAGAAACTAACCCAGGACACCTGGAACTAACATTCTCTATATAGCAGCAACAGAGGATCGAGTACTCCATGTCAGTGAGGAGTAAGAAGTGTCCACTCAGCAGCACACAGCTTGGACTCTATGCAGAGTTGCTGGTCCAAAGGCCTGATAAAGAACAGATTTCTCAAACTCACACTAATATGCACCTCCAGTTTTAACAGTGGTCTTGTTCTCTGCTTGTTTCTGCATGCATCCACACCAGCTGCTCCCTTTCTCAAGCTGATAGTTTAGCATAATCTTATTTTCCTCAAAGGCAGCCAATGAAACTGGTGCTTCTGTGGTACAAGACACACACTTCCTCCCACTGTCTCTTCTACAGAGACAGCACTATATTTAAGTAGAGGGACAGGGCAGATGAGATTAGCAGTGTCTTCAATCACCACAGTTTGATTCACATGAGGCTTGACTGCAAAAGCCCTCACAGTCCACATATATGTAGTGCAGTCAGGTTACTACAGCTTGGTGAATTATTAATAGCTCAGCCCATTAGCAAGGCTGGAGTAACTATTACATGTGCACCTTCAGTTTAAATCAGGTCTGCTGCAGTTCCTGCCCTCCTCAGCTTCTTGCTGCATGGTCCTTTCTCCTGCTGCAGAAGGACAGCCTATTTCAAGCCACTAGGGAGATGCACCCCAGTTTGCTCATTTGGGTTGTGTTGACTTGCACCGCAATGCACTGGGCCAGGTAAGGCTGTGAGCAAACAGTTGCAAGTACCAACCCATAGCAGCTCTGGCTCATCAGCTAAGCTCTCCTGCGTGACCAGACTCATGCTTCATCTGTGCCTGTCCCAACTTAAAAATAAAATGCATTAATGTAAACCACAAGAAGGCTGGTAATCAGTCATGCCGGAATACCTGAAAGTGTATAGGCAGAATGAGATTAATCTTGCCTACGTGGCTACAAGGCAGAGATATCTAAGCTCGTCACTATAGACTTGGTAGTCAATGGAGAAAAACAGGCAGTTCTGAGGCACATTTCATCTGAGCGGACTGAGATGACTGCTTTTGTGTGAAAGGGAACATACGTAACTGCCGCGGCCCGAAGGGGGGATGGGACCTTGGCACCGCACGGGTCCGGGACACGAGGGAGGGTGCAAGTTGAATCCCTTATTCACGCGTGTACGCAGTCTTTTATCAGCTCGGGAGGGGAGAGGGCCAGAACACAGGGCGGAGCATGAGACAGACAAGCAGGGGGACAAACCAGGATAGGGACACGGGCAAAAGGGGGAGAAGTGAGGGAAGCAGGGAGCAGGCAAACTCGTGGCAAGCCTGGGCATGTCCAGGCTGTGCATTGTGTAGTGTGAATACAATGAAACCACATAATAACAGTAAAGTCCATATAATAACTGTAAGGTCCATATAATAAAATCCTGTCAATTGCTGTATGTTTTTCTCCACGCCTGGAACTGTTCCCATCACATGTAACTACTTTTTTCTCTCCATTGGCTACCAAGAGATTTTTAAGGTGACCAGCTTCATGGCAGATGTCTACACTGAGCCAGGCAAATTCTACCCATGGTCTTAGCTGATGATCCATTCAGCTATGGTAATAAATCACACTGGATCACTCACTCAAATCTTAATTTTCAGTAAAAGTGATTTAAATTATCCAGTAAAAAAATTAGATTCAACTGAATTGAGATAAATGATTCCTAAAATGAGGTTATCCACATAAATGAAATTGATTTCAGTTATAACTTGTACTTATGTTATTTTGGGCTTGTATTAAAACAGTGCTTAGTAGCTCAGTGTGGGAACTAATAGAATATTATCAGTTAAAAAGAAAGTACTGAACAAGAAGCCTTGAGCTTTTTGAGGTTTTCTATCTTCCTTACTTAGATAAAAAATGTTGAATAGCTACAGGTGTTTGTTGCAACTGAGATTTCTAACAGGTAATTGCTCTGTGGGTTGCATCAACCTCCATATAGTAGAAGAGTGGAACTGTTAGAAGGAAATTCAGTTTTACATCTGCATTTGTTTTGCTTGGATGTATCTGTGACAACTTTTTAGGGTATGTTTGGAGCAAAATCTCCGCAAGTATAATTTAGGGGGAAGTATAAAATTATGTAACAATGGAAGGTGTCTTTTAAAGAGAGAAGAATCAACTCCTTGGGATGAGTTGTTTAACCTTCTGTTAAAAGCAGAAAGCTGGTAAAACTTTCTAAAATACATTGGCAAAAGAAGTCTTTGCTAGTGTAACATATACCAGTTCCCGGAAGAAAATAAACTCCACCACAGACAACCCTCATTTCTCTAGTATAACTGCATCTACACGAGGGCTTACCAGAAATACATTAGAAAACACACAAGCATAATACGTTACATATTCATTCTTCTCTGTTACTTAATATCATTTGATATGCAGTGTGTATATTTGATGATCAAATTTTCTGTTTAGGCATCCCTGCTTATCTTATGTATCCTGTCTACGCTGTACCTTTCCAAAGGTGGATGGATGTATTTGAATCTTGAAATCTGGATTGCAGGTTTCAATATACAGTTCATGTAGTAGCCGACAGGGTACAGTGCATCCTCCACACAAGTAGAAATTATCAGCTAGCCTTTAAAACAAAAACATCAATTGGTTTGTATCAGAATTAGAAGAAAGAGTTGTTAGATTTTCAAGTTCTATTTTCCTTGTTTCCAAGGTATAAGAGAGGTCATGTGAGACTCTGCTATGAAATTAATTTGTTCTCATAATAACATTTCTCATATGCATATCTGAAGATCTAACTTTGGTCTTCTAAACAGAAAGGTCTCCGCTATACCAAAGACAAGAATAGGAGAATTTTTCCACCTGAAATGTGCGATATGGTGATTTGAAATAGAGAGTACACAAACTGTAAAGGACAAAATTCTGTTTTCATACAACCTCACTGATTTTAGGACAAGTTTATTAAGAGAACAGAATTTTAATTTACAGTTACTATGTAACAGAACTGTCAGGACTGAAACAGGTTTAGATGTTTAAATACTCATCCTTTAGCCAAAGCCCTGACTCATCTTACTTATCAGAATGGCCATAGTCAAGTAAATGCAACTACTTGTGTAAATAAGGTGAGGAAGACGTAAACTTGGTTACTTATTAGCCTAAGGTATTACCTTCACTGGGAAAAAAATGACTTTTAATTATGAGATAATGCCAATGGTTTTGATGTCAGAAGATAATAGCCTGCAGTACAAATACAGGAGCAAAGCTGAAAGGAGCAGAGAGATTAATTTTCAAAGCATAACACATTGCTCGTATGACAGTGGTTTCTTACTCTAACTGTGCTTCCATTCTACCAAGTGATTTATGCATATTTAATTAATTTATCAGCTGAATGCTAGTGCAGCACAGTGCCAGTTACTCACTGTGTCTTTACTGATAATCCAGTTGGTTGGGAAAGAAGACTTTTCATATTCACTGGGTGAGATAAGCCAGTTGGATTTTAAATCAGCATCCTCTGTTTTATCAGTAGCTTGACTTCAGACAACCTAGTGTTTATCTTTCTGAACTAGCTGTATTGGCAGTAGATAGCAGATAAGGTCTTCAGCAAACTGGCCTGAGCAAGAAGATGGTCACTGTGCTGCCTGACAATGTCTACCTCACCTTTTATTCACGTCTCCTGCCCTTCTTCCACTGAAGAAGGCTTTCTGTCTCCCCTAGACTTTCTTCTCCCCAGTAAAAGATCCCCAAATGCCTCACTTATACCTCCTTGGAAACCACCTTCTCACCCACCAACCCAGGAGCCTGGTACTGTTAAGCACCAGGGCTGAGCTGCACTGGGCTCCCTGCCAGCTCCCAACCACCTCCAGCCCCACCACCCAACAGAAAAGGTTTCACCAATAGACCTGAGCAGGAACCTGCATCCAAAGATAGGGGATCTGCTGCGTTACTGGGGTATTTCCCATCATCAGGCTCAAAGGTAAATGAAATTTATTCTAGATAAGAGTCCTGACTGAGCCCTGCCTCCCAGCAGGCAGAAATGTTGTTTCTTCTAAAGCAACCATCTAAAACCCTTCACAATTAAGCAGTCCCATGGGAGATTAAAGCTTAGTCCAAATTCATCCTTAATATAACACCAAAAGAGTCACTGGAAGTGCATCATAAATTAATTCATGCTTCAGTAGCTGGTTTGTGCCAATAGTTTTTCTTTAGCATTTAACTACTTAGCGACAAAATATTTTGGAATTTCCTTTTGTGAATTTATCATCTATTAAACTGCCAGTCTTTTTCAAATAATAAGTTAAACATGTTCTTAGTGCTGACACATAATACAAGAATACTGTCTATTAAAATCCACACAGAAAAGAGCATCGTGCTCATCTTCTTGCCTATTAGCCCTGAGGTTTTCAAAACTTGAGTTTTTATGACATCATCAAACCAAAACTGCTAATAGAGACAAAAAAAAATCAAAAGAAAAAAGTGATAAGGGAGAAAGACTGAGGTTAAACAAAAAGCACACAGCAAAAGACCTCCTCCATTTATCTACTATTTATCCACACTTCGTGTGTGATTTATTATCTGACTGATTTTAGGACCTCACATGGACTCCAGGTTTTTGGGGTTTGCCACCTGTTCTATTCGAACCCTTGGCAGTCAGGCCATTATACAGGTTGGCGAGTCTGCTGTTAAATCATTTCTGGACCAAAATCTAGTTTGCTGTTGACAATGCACCAACTGTAAAATGAAGCTGAGCATTTAAAATTTTTCAAAACATGAAAAGGGGATTCAGAAGGTTGTCATGATGAAAAAAAAATCATCAGTTCATCATTTCAAGGATTGTTTATGATTCAGTTTTATGCTGTGTCTCAAACCTGTTGGATGAATGACCTTGGATGAATCTCTTCCTTCTGTCCTTTTAAAATAGGAATGCTGGCATCTATATCACAGTAAAAACACAGATGAGCTCCCACTGCTCAGGTATTACTGAGAGGGAGAATAAAATGTTTTAGGATTACTCGCTGACAAGTTAAAAGTTTGTTTGTATTTGTTATTACTGTTTCACACAAAGCTTCAACACTACTAGCTGGACTCATCTGTGATTGGGGAAAGTAGGAAAGTATCCCTGGTTTCTCTTTGGCCATCACATGGCAGGTGATGCTCTTCTCAAAGCACAAGAAAATGATGATGACAACCTTACTCCACCACAGAAAGTGTCTCACTAAGGAGTTCAACCATTACCTTCGTCTCAAGAAAGCATAACCTCGGAGAATGTCTAATGCTCAGCATCACACTGAGTGAGTGCCAGTGTCCCACCAGCTGTGCAGCCTCGCAATCGCTCGTGGCACGCTGTAAGAGCCCACCAGTCAGGAGTGGTGCAGCCAGGGAGAGCTCTTGCCAGCTGCCCTGCAGCATCACACCAAGTGGGTGGCAGCCCCGGGGCCAGGTCCCGGCCAGTGGTCAGGCCGTTTCCCCCGTGTCAAACCACCTTTATATCAGAAAGGCTTGTGGCAGATGGGACTTTCAGGGAAGTTTCCTTGCTTTCTCGGCATCGCTTATGCACCACAGCGATGACGGGTCTTTGCAGCAAACCAGACTCTTGCCCCACGGAACCGCGAGAAACGCTAAAAGCAGGACTCCCGCGCTCCCCGTGGCAAGCCCACCCGGTGGGTCCTGCGAGCCCCCCGGTAAGGGGAGAGCCCAGTCGCGCCACCTCCCCACTCCATCCCCAGCCACGGCCCGCCCCCGGGAGCGGGGCAGGGGGCAACACCCACCACTGGAGGACGGGCAGGTACGTGAGGGAAGTGGGGCCGCAGTAAGCCATCTCGGCGGGCTCCGGGGCGGGCTGTGGCGGGGTATCGGCCATTGGTGCGGGGCCGGCGGGGCCGGCGGGTAACGGACGGCGGGTAACGCCCGGCCCGCGCCACCCCCGCGCCCGCCCCGCGCCCGCCCCGCCGGCAGCGCGGGCCCTCCGCGCATCCCCCCCGGGGAGGGCTGCCCTCAGTGCCACCGCCAGCATCCCCGGCATTCGCCGGCATTCCTGGCGCCCGCCCCTTTGCCGCCAAATGGGAATTACACAGGAACTGCAGGTGAGAAAAGGAATTATATGCAAATCGGAAAGAAGTGAGAACGGCCGGTTGTGCGGCTCTGCATCTGAATATCACGTAGTGACAGGAGAAGGGGTAATGGCTTCAAACTGACTACGTATTAGGAAAAAATATTAGGAAAAAAATATTTTTCCTTTCTTTACTATGAGGGTGGCAAAGCACTGAAACAGGTTGCACAGAGAAGTTGTGGATGCCCTATCCATGGAAGGGGCCAATGGATGCCCCATTGTTGGATGGGGCTCGTGTCAGGGGTGTTGGAACTACGTGATCTTTAGGATCCCTCCCAACTCCAGCCATTCTGTGATTCCATGATTCTGTGATCACAAGTGCCATCTTATAGGTTTTGCATGCCTTTAAAATGTTACTTTCAGAGTTTTCAACAAGAATACCATAACCTCCCATAATTCATAGAATCATAGAATCAACTGGGTTGGAAAAGACCTCCGAGATCACCAAGTCCAACCCTTGGATCCAACACCACTGTGGTTACTTGATCATGGCACTAGGTGCCACATCCAGTCTCACCTTAAAAATCTCCAGGGACCATGAATCCATCACCTCCTTAGGCAGCCCATTCCAATGTCTGATTACTGTAAAAATTTATTCCTGATATCCAACCTAAACCTCCCCTGGCAGAGCTTGAGACCGTGCCCTCTTGTCCTACTGCTGGTTGCCTGGGAGAAGAGACCAACACCCATCTGGCTACAACCTTCTTTCAGGTAGCTGTAGAGAGTGATGAGGTCTCCTCTGAGCCTCCTTTTCTCCAGGCTGAACAACCCCAGCTCCCTCAGCCTCTCCTCATAGGACTTGTGCTCAAGTCCCTTCACCAGCCTCGTTGCTCTTCTCTGGACCTGCTCCAGCCCCTCAATATCCTTTCTGAACTGAGGGGCCCAGAACTGGACACAGTACTTGAGGTGTGGCCTCACCAGGGCTGAGTACAGAGGAAGAATCACTTCCCCGGTCCTGCTGGCCACACTGTTCCTGATATAGGCCAGGATGCCGTTGGCCTTCTTGGCCACCTGGGCACACTGCTGGCTCATGTTCAGCTTCCTGTGTATCCAAACTCCCAGGTCCCTTTCTGCCTGGCTGCTCTCCAGCCACTCTGTGCCCAGCCTGTAGCACTGCAGGGGGTTGTTGTGGCCACAGTGCAGGACCCGGCACCTGGCCTTGTTGCACCTCATCCCGTTGGAATCAGACCATCTCTCCAGCTTGTCCAGGTCTCTCTGAAGAAAATAGTTTAATTTCTCTTTGATGCAGATAGATGAAAGGTCTGTCTGCTCTGCTGAAACCCTGTAAGCACTTTTCCATTGCAAGTATCCACTATGCAAAATGAGCTTTGCTGCCATGTGACTGATGAACATAAATTATGTATGGCTGGAGCATCTAAAAGCTTACTAGTGGATGGCTTTGGGTTACATCAGAGCTCAGCTTCTCAGAAACTCCCACGGCTCCCTCCTGTTAATTAACTTCCTGAAAGCCCGCATATGAGACAGACTGGCTTGCTTGCTTTGTAATGACGAGATGACCAAAGCCAACACGTCAGTAGGCAGCAGTATTAAAGCGGGAAGGAGGGGATGGACACGGACTTGGGGTCACAACACCAGGAAAGGGAATTTAGGGAAGAAGATTGCTGGTTTTCTAGTGCCTCAAAGTAGCTTGCTTTTGAGGAGCAGTGCACACAGATATCATGTATAATACATGTTGCTCTTAATCTGTGAAGCCTCATGCTGTGTTGAAAACCATATGGGAAGATGCTGTTCACTCAAGGGCCCCTGAACCAAAGCCTTTAAAATTATTTCTGCCCAAAGCACAGGTTAGTATACGCACTGTAACCAATACAATCTGTCACCAATAATTGTACTTAATAACCGATTGTGTAAGCTTCCCTCAGGAGATGCAGTTCTTGTTCTTTTATGTCCATGGTCTACTGATCCCCTCTGTGGGACATTTAACTTACACAGCAGATACTCCTGCAAATACTGTAAAGTGAAAGCTTTCTCAGGTTAAACTAGCTATTGTAAGAATGGGCAGCAGTGATATTGCAGCAACTGTAAGACTTGTGTGGTGTTGTCATCCAAGTACTCACAGAGCTTCTGTGCTAGGGCTTGCAGTAGATACTGCCTGACACGCTCATGTCCAATTCGGGTGTACCTGTCCATACTGCACTGAGAGCAGTCTCCTCCACTTAATCCACCTTAGGAACAGGAAAACTCAGCTCCAGTTTCCAATAACTGGATTGCTTATGTTTGCATGTGCTTCTGAGTCCTGGTCATAGTTCTCAGGGGTCATGACCAACAACTGACTTTTTGGGACTATCTGAAACTCTACAAAGTTAGTGAAGCTCCCTAGGCCTGATGCCTGAGCAGGAAAAAAAGACCCAAAAAACATTTACAACTTATCTAAAACTGAAAAATGATAAATGGACTATTTCTGTGGTAACAGATTAAAACAAAGGAAGTCACACAGATTAGAAATTCTCTGGACTACACCTAATACTCAGAAAGGTCTTGATGAGAGGAAGCAAAAGATGCACAAAAAACCTGTCCAGTTACTGTCGATGGCTTGAGAGATATAAGGTCACAGAACTTCTCTTGCCCAATTTCCGGATAATGAGATGGATAGATCTGTGTACCGTTCAAATCTTGACACTACTTCTATTTGATTAGGCTCTTCCCATTTTTTTCAGAAAATAACTCTTTAACCTTTCAGATAATTTTAACACTTGCTTTTTTGAGGGGGGTGGGGAGGGAAGAGGGCAGGGATGGAAGGGAGATTCTGACTTGAAATGCTAGACTGCTAGTAGAATTTGACTGAAAACCTGAAATCTGCTTCTTCAATTTAATCCAGTCAGATTGGGCTGGGTGGATGTACATTAGGTCAAGTTGTAGAAAGTCTTTATTCTTGCATAAGTTGAAAGTTGCAAAGCTCTTTATTGCTGTCAAGGACATACTCCTTGTGCAAAATTAAAGAGTATTTAATGAACATGCACTTTGACTGAAAAAAAGTTGGACCTAAAATTAGAAGTATGGTTGAACTGACTAAAGAGGTGCTAAAGAAGCTCCCTTCCTCTGACTTTTATCCATAACTAGCACAAATTTAAACCAAACTCTGAGGTAACAAACATCTCCAAAACATTGTAAGGAGTGTCTTTAGCATAAAATTGCCTCTTCAGATTACTGCCTCTGCTCAGCCCCCCATTCAAGAGAGGATTTGGATACCTTGTGAGAGTTGGATGGCTTGTGAGGTAAACAGATCATGTAAGAGCTTTTGCTGCTAACAGCTGTTCTGTAAAGGTAAGTGCTGATGTCTCTCAGATATTTACAGTTTTTTAAAATAAGTGCTTTGTAAGATTTTTAATGCTTAAGCTAAAGTATGTATAAAACAGTCACGAAGGCAAGTGAATCCACTACAGCTTCCACTACCAGCAGCAATGAAAATATGTGACTGTAGTAAATTGTATGTTCCTCTAGAGTTGAAAAGAACTCTGTGGTATTTATTTCATTTATTCTCATGTAGAAAGGAATGGGTAAAAGAGGTTGAAAAGTCAAATCAAAAAACCAAATCTTTCCCTGACACCACCAAACCAAGGTCCTGGAGAAGCATACCATTATATTTTCAATATGAAAAGTTAAAAGAATTGGGTCAGTGTTAGTTTAAGAGTCCTGGTGGACCAAGGTAAACACCCCTATTTGGGAAATGAACCAGTACATTTTGTTGGTTTGGCTTTTGTTTGGTTTTTTTTTGTCTCTACTAGTTGACCTACCAGGGACAAAATTGCATATGTGCAAAGGTTTACTCTTTTTTCTTTCTTCAAGATCTGAATAATGCCAATGACCAGGCATTACCTCAAACCAATCAGCTTACTGTGAGCAGAGATGTTCAGAGTCCTAGTTATCTTTCAAACTTTAGTTTAAAATATATCACTTGAAAGAATTAAAAAAATACGAAAGGTTATATACGGTTGTGTCACAACGTTTGAAGCAGCAGCAAAACCAAAACAGGATTGCAACCACCTTCTCCTTGAATATAGTGCTTTGACATTATAGGAAACTGTCTTTCACAAGCCACACTCTTTGACATGAATGCACATGAGGAAGAAGAAGGCTCCTCTCCTAAGTGCCTATGGCATGTGAACTCTTTTGCAGATGAAAATCCAGTTCAGCAAAGCTTGTCAGCATGTGTGTAAGACTGCTTCATTTCAGCAAAGCATTTATGAATGCACTTACATTTAAACATGTACTTAGCTGAATTGTTTTGGTGAGTGGCGATTGATGGCTGAATTGAGGCATTAAACATTAATGATGGAGCTGGAAACACAAAATAGTATGTAAATTGGGATGTGTCATGTTGGGACTAGAATAAACTGATTCAAACACTGCAATCATTGCATGATTAAGATCTCTTGAAAGATGTGAAGCCATTAGAAAGTCTTAGAACCTGGTGATTTGAGAAGGGGCACAATCACTGCCAATCATTCAGTCCTCACCTCATCTTATCTCAAATCACTTGGTTTTGGAGTGTTTGGTGGGGAGACTGGGTGGAAATCTCTTCCGCTTAGAAACTGAAACACTTAAATTTCTGTTGGTACAACATTAATTTTAGATGTTGCCCAGGACTCTGTCATCTATTGATCTCCTTTTAATCAGGATGAAAAATGAATTCTTTGACTTCTTTTGGTCCAGTCACAAGTGGTAGCAGGGTCTATCTGAGCAGCTCTGTCCCTCTAGTCTGTAGAGATTCTGATGTGAACACTTCCCATGGAGCCCTGCTGGTCACCCTTTGTGCTCCTGTACAGGCAGTGCCTCTAGGAAGGTGACCATGGAGCTGAGGACTGACCATATGCTGATGATACCTGCTCTTTATATTTCCCTCCCTTTAGACCTGCTCAGGGCATCCAAACACTTTAGACAGTGAGTTGTGAAGATGGAGATATGGATAAAAGCCTATCTGTCCAGAAGACACTGAGCTAATGCTTGCAGAAGAAAGAAACTGCTTTATTTCTGCTTGGCAGAAGATGCTGTATTTGCTCCTCCAAGTATAAGTAGTAATATATTAGGCTTCCCAGATACATTCTTTTTGTGGTTTTGTTTTCTAATTTTGGATGCACGCTTTCTGTTAAGTTATCTTTCTGTTTATTGGACAATCTGTTATTATAGCTGTGCTATAAACTCTGAAACACTGATGCTAGTTTTGCATGTTACAGCAATTTGAACAGAAACAAAATATTTTTTTCTGTACAATAAAAGCAGTGGTGCATCATAGAGAGAAGCTCTCCCTATCTCAGGAGCTAGTGGATCAAACAGCAGCTCTGACATGAGGTCCTGTGCCTGATTTGCAGACCACATGCAAATACCCCTGGACTGTATTTGAGCATCAGGAATGTTTTCACAGTGGATCAATTAGTTTTGTAGGAAGGAAAGGCACTAAGGGCAGCTTTGAAATACGCTCAAGGTAAAGTCCAGCCACAAAACTTTTGAAAAGAGAGAAAACATCTCCCTCTTCCACCAGCATAAATACAAACTTTACAGTGAAAAGAGATGCTTGCTTTTTGGGGCTTTTTTTAATTAAAATAACAGGTAAAAATGTTTCACTTAAATAGCTACATTAACCAATAATTTTCTTGAAATTATTTGTTGAAAGATTCAGCATAAGGTTGACATAAGTAAATGACAATGCAGTTAACAATCTCCTCTGAAAGTAACTTTTATTGTAACAAATAGAAATCCTGTCTCTATAGTTCTTTGAAGGTAAAGTGTGTGTTACATGAGTGATGTAGTTTTATTTATGTAGTTTTACTTTTTGTTTATTTCCAACCTTTTGAATATCTTAGACCAAAGCGGCACGTGAAAGAAATATTTTCTGCGTATACTGTCAGGGGTGAGATAATTAAAACTGTATACAGTCCTGTATTCCTATTATTCTTTTAAAAATCTTGTTTTATCCTTCAGTCTAGAAAATGAAGCAGGAGATAGCATGATTTATGCCTTGCTTATAGTTACATAACTGATATTCTCATATAATATTTTATCTCAGATTACCAATAGATTCAAGAGAGAGAGAAAACACCCTAACAGACTTAATAAGCCTTACCCTATAATCACTGTAGGAACAACGAAACCTGAAGTACCAGGACCCACCAGAGTTGTTCAGATCCACCAGGACCCTGCTTTGAGCAGGGAAGTGAACTAGACAACCTCCAGACATTTCTGACAACCTAATTTATTCCATGATTGCTGCATGGTCTCTTTCTTAATTGAATCTGAAGCATTTACGACTTGTCTATGTTTGGCTTTTGTTCAAATAAGTATAACATTCATTTATGTTGCTAACAGTAGCATTGCTCTAGCTGCAGCAGTGTAATATATAGCCAAGACAAAAATTTTATAAAAAATATTATCTTTTTCTTGGGCGAGTTGATGCAGCTAGATTACATATAGATACTGTGGGCCCACACAGATTGTGTTGGATCTGAAGCTAGCAGCAAACACGTGCCTGATAGAGGTTGGGAATGATTACTCTGGTAGAATGAAATTGTGTTTCTTTTTCCCAATTTAGCAAATTAGAGTAGACTGGTATGGTTTATAAGGACAAGATGTCTGCTATATCAATTGACACACCCTGTTTCCATTGGAATAAATTACAAAATCAACCTTTGTGAAACCTTGGATACAAATTTCCCCTCTGAGGCGCTTGAGTGTTTATACTCTGACCTCACATCTTTGCATTGACACGAAGGAACTCTGGGGTGGTTGGATTATGGGTTTCTGGACTGATCAACATCCTTGATTTATGGTCCTGATTTGCGATCCTGATTTTGAACTACACTCCATCATTTCTGACACTTACAAATACATTCCTTCCTGCTAAGTGCTCCTCAGATGGCTTACAGAAGTATTTCCACCACTGCATACTTCTTATTTTGACTCTGTGCTATTTGTAACATGGGACTGGCCCTCTGGTTGGTACTGTTGGGAGTTTTGCACGAGCGAGGACTAGAGCTGAGTGAATACATACCCTAAATATTTATTTGCATTCAAAAGGGAGCTTATATTTAACTGTGGTTGTAAGCCTTTCATATTTATTTTCTATGAATATGCGATCAAGCGACCTTTACTAGCATAATACTTGTCTGAGAATTTCTATGTGATTTACTCATGGGAGGCAAACATTTAATTCAAATGTTGGGTCACCAAAAGGCAGATCAGAATTTTCTATTGACATTGTTTTGATTACTTATTAAAATTAAATGTTATGATCCTTGTGGATAAAGGAAAGAAAAATTATGCAATATTATAGTCAGTGGCACAATAAACACATTCTACTTGTTAATTTAAAAAACTGTATCAATATAGGTCAAAAGATATATGGGGCATAAATTAATTTTGCTTGACTTATTGCAGAAGATACATTTGCAGTTGAAAATTTCAATCAGATCACAAAGTTCAGAAATGCGATGATCTGCAGACCTACAATTATTCACTGAAGTATTTCATTAACAATTTTATAACAAGCACATTTTAAATATGATCTGCAGATCTACAAGTGATTCAACGTAAAATATGCCAAAGAAAATCTTCTAGTAAGAACAGCATGTGTGAGTTAGAGATACAGGATGTGGTTGCTTAGTTACTAATCAGGAGTCCACCTGGAGAGCACAGAGCCTCTGCACTTCAGAGTATGGAGATAGGTTTTGCCCTTTGTTTTTGTCTGGCACTACTGCTGAATGTTAAAATCTAAAATGTGTAACCAGGCAACTTTAATGGACAGTGACTCCACTCTGGCGACCTCATTGCTACTGCAGCCAGTGGCAGTGTGACCTTCCTTCCATCAGGGAAGATAGAACCATGGCAAAAATTATAGCCAAAACTTCATTTTAAGAGACATTTTAGAGAATGTACCTTGGATATTTTTCTCTCAAATGCCATCCTACTGCACTCAGATAGACAAATCACAAAGCTTTGTTATCTGTTTTAGTATTTTCAATATATCCTTGGATTATTTTTAATAATAATAGGGTTCATAAAACCCTAAAAAATCATTAACCAATAGTATTTAAAATTATTTTTCCCTTGAATCTCATTCTTGACAGAAATGGTGTTTAACAAGATTCTGCAAGGTTTCTGCAGTTTGCCAAAATTTGTTTTTAAAAGAAAATATACTTTCTACTGCTGCTTTTGAGTTCAGACAAGCTTAGTAACTTCCAGAAGATATGAAAATGGAAAGCTGTCAGACTAATCATAATAAAATTTCTTTGTGAGTGGGGATGGTTCTTGAGAATTTCTTAGTCTACAAT